TCCTCTTGCTTACTCGAACGTCGCCCAGAATTGTCGCGCTAGTTCGTTGCTCCTGACTAGAATGGCCCTTCCTCATCTCAATTAGAAGGCGACGCCACACAAAAATACCTCGCAACTTTCTCTTGGCTCTTTGGAATGTTAGATACGCTCTGAGTTCTTGCTCTGCAAGATCCATAGCAGCAGTTCCGTCCTGCTCCTCTTCCTCTTCGTTATCATCCAATCGCTGGAACCCCTTGGGGTGGCGACTATGGATTTCTTCTATTTTCTCGCGAATGCCCATCTCAGGAGGGTACCACATTCGTAAAGAATCTTGAACATTTGGACGCTGGCTTGCCATGAGTTTATCGTAGATCGCCTTCCAACCATTATCACAAAGAATCCATTTGGGATTGATGGGAAAGGTATACCCTTTATCAATTTGCTTCGATAGAACTTCGAGAAGTCCCTCCTCGTCCACATAACACCATCGCAGCGATCCAGGCAAGTCGTGAGAGATAACCAAGAATTCGTCGTCTAACTCTTGTGGGAAGTAGTAGTTGAAGCATTCGGCGCCATGCCGAACTGATCCTTCCTTTTTGAGTCGGCCAATAGCATGCTTCATGATATTATTGCTTTTCGGGTCACTGAATCCGAGTGGAGGAATTGTTGGATGGAATCCCTTGGATGCTTCCACCTTCAAAATGTCAAGCCACCGACTTGTCCATGATTTGCTTTGAGCACCGCTATCAAGGACTGTTTTGATTTGCTCCACACACCAGTTCAATATATTGAGCTGATCTTTGTCCATGGGCTCCTCATATCTCACTCCTCTTGATCCGACAAGAAAGCAGTCAAAATCACTCACAACGGGCATGATACGGCCATTCTCCTCGTACGCCATTACCAAATTTCGAGGATCCATGGGATTTGGATCGACATCGCCTGGTGCTTCGTACTGGAGAATGACGGTCTTGGGACCTCCATTTGTGGGCTCCCTGCGGAGGGACAAAGAGTTCATGTTTTGAAAGTTTGGTTCTGATGGTCTTCCAGTAAAGTATTCGCTGTCTTTGGGGCGAGAGATATCTTGACGGACAACCATACCTTCCCAGAAAAGGCGTTCTGGCACAAGCATTCCATAGGTAGAAGGTGCGTAATCATCAATGAGGTCGATCTGTGTGTCAGACATTTCCCAAATCAATTTCTGCAAATGCCACTCCATAACGTCGTCATCAGCCTCTCCTTCTGAAACAACCTCTCTTGCTTTTGCAAATGTTTCCACCATCTCCGTGGCCAATGTATTCAACTCTGCAACAACTTGATTTCTAGCAGCTTCTCTCTTGAAGTACACCTTGATCCTTCCATCCTTGGGGTGCGTTTTGACCATTCTCTTGTGCTCTTCTTCGTAAATCTGCAAATATGGAACATATCCGGAAAGTCTTCCCCTCTTTGCCGATTTTCCTTTAATATCCAGCCCCTTTCCAACTCCCTCTCCCAACATCATTCTTCGAATGGCGTCCAGACTTGTTGGTCTCCAAACGGTGAAAACCGATGCTTTGTTAAACATTCGAAGAAGTGGACTGGCCATGTTTGGGTCAAAGCCCTTCTCCATATTATCAGCTCCCTCTTGAGCAATATCATCAAAAAAGCTAAGGATTTGGAATCGAGGATCGGAGCGTCTAAATGTTTTGCACCATTCTGTCATTCTCTCTTGCCTTACAAAATCAAAGAGTTGGTCTCCTTCATCCAACATTCCTAGCGTGCCAAGAGAGCCGAGAGCTGCAGAATCGCGTTGAATGTCTTTCATGCCTCGATTGCCTCCCAACTTGACGCCCTGTCTCCTTCCTTTGGATGGTTGGACTGTGTGGCGTCGAGTTTGCTCTTCTTCAGTTGTTGCAGATCGCCGTGCAGTTTGTTGAAACTGGCGTGGATCCTCTGAAACGAATCGGCGCACCGTTTTGTCTGGAGATATCAACGCTGAGTCTTCGTCGTCTGATAATTCCGTGCTCTGAAACTGTGGAAGTTGTCCTGGAAGTGCTCCAAAACCATCTTCTTCTTCGTCTTCTTCCTCCTCCTTGGCATCATCAAGTGGAACGACGTCCCCGGCAAAATCTACAATCATTGGTGAGTCACTTTGCCCAGACTCCTGTGTTCTCGAAGAACTATCCTGCATGCCACCGATAGCAATAGCAGTAGTAGAGCCAGTACCATTTTCCGATAGTTCAAGTTTTTGCTTGAGACTCTCGATCTGTTCCTCCAGATCATTCTTTTGCTGTTGAAATTCCACTCGTTGTTGAAGTATTTCGTGTTTCAACCGTTTGTTATCATCATTTGCCTTCTTGATTTGTTCTTGTAGCTTTGAATTTTCGTTAGTGAGTTGGATCATTTCCTTTTGTTGTGAATTAGGAACTTCAAAGTGAGAGGAAACTGTAGTTCTTGTGGTCTCCGTATGCGATATTCTGGCCTGGGGATTTGCTATTTCCGTACTGTCTCTGTCTGCTCTTTCACTGCTTTCCACGTGCTCCGAAGTTGAAACCCCATAGTTGGAACGAGATTCCGACTTGTTTTTGTCTCGTTTGAAGGATCGTTTGAACCTCTGAATGGTTTTCTTGGAGAGTCCAAATCCAATTTTGCGACGAGTTTTGCTTTGTTCGTCCCGTGTGCCTTGGGTATCTTGAACCTGCTCTTTGATTGCTTGTCCGTCCTTGACTCTCATCATTTGGGGATCAGATTGATTCATTGTAATGTCAGGAACAATCTCCAATCGATTGCACAACACGGAATGGAATGTGGAGTGGAATGGACTGATTGCCTTAATATGTTTATGTGAAGTATGTGAAGTATGAATGTCACAAACAAGAAAAGAACCTTTGGTCTACAGTAGATGATGATGACACTGAGAGCAGCCGTGGTCCATGGAGTTACTGCACCGATATCGTATAGTACACTCAACACGTATTAATAAAATAGATTCCCACTGAATTGTTGCACCTCTGGACCTCTGGACCTCTGAACCTCTGGACCTCTGGACCTTTCACCTCAAGTGTAGAAATGCCGTGAAATGTGCTGTATGCTGTATACTGTATACTGTATGCAATGTTGTGTCAGGTGCAAGTGATGCTTGCAAGCTTGCTTGCTCTGTGCTCTGTGTAGTCACTTATATGAATCTTTCCATTGTTGTTGTGCAGGCTCGATACCTGTATGACCCATGATGTCCACGGGTGGACGTACGTACCGGTCTCAGCACGGACACCAGAATTGATTTTCCCTTTCCAAACCTACCGGTACCGGCACCGGTACCAATAATGAACAATGTTGTACGTACCTATTCAAGCCGTCCACATGACCACAGGGTACAAGTACACATACACGATGGTGACCAAGAAGCAAATGAACAATGAATAGATGCCTTAAAGATGGTCGTTGGGCGGGCTGCATAAATGCACCACGACCGCCCTCTAGTATATTTCTTTTTAAAAATAAACTGTAAACTGTATTTTTGCCATATCCTACTGTACAGTAGGATCCTAGCTATTACAGTATTAATAAAATATGATTATGTTATTTTATATGCACTATGAAGTCTGTACAACTACTGTAGTAAATAATAGCTTCCTATCACAAACAAGTTCCACTACATACTGTACAATCATACTAAGTCTACGTTTAGGTGTATTGAAGTAGTGCTCAAAACCATGTTCTACATATAAGTGATGAGTGCTACAGAATGCTCAATAGATGCAGTCGGAGATAGGCATGCGCGTCACTCCGCGCAGGGATTAACAACGTGTACCAGTACCTATCTGGTACCAGGTACACACGTACGTGTACCGGTACGGTAATCGTACCAAAGAACTTGGGCGGAGTTTGTTTGAAATTGAATCTTGCGAAATAGACTACTTTGTTGTCACATGTTTGACAATTATGGCAAACACTTTAGTGGGACTATTATAGTACACGTTTACTTAATGGAAAGTCAGAACAAAATTTTTCCATGCCTAATTATTCAATATGTGGTTTGGCCCGCTACTGAAAATCCAGCGAAACCAGGTTTTGACAACGGCCAACTATTAATACTGTATTTTTTATTATTTGAGAAACGGCACTGAATTGGATTTGTTTCGTTCATAGTTTCACTTGCGCTTGCCACTTGCCACTTGCCACCATAACCGATATACCGGTAATACTACAGTAGTAGAACATACACACTCCACAGAAACAAAAGACCACTCAAGCCGACTACTACAAAAGGACATTGAGTCAGCCGTCAGCCAGCATTCGCACAGGTGTCCCAATTTCCATTTTCCATTTCAAACCTCAAACCAGGACTGTTTCTCCGATAATCGGAATCTAGTTGATTCGTTCATTCATTCATTCATTCGTGCCGCAAGATTCAAACATTCAAACATTCAAGCATCAAACAAAGCTTCCTCTTTCACAACTCCATTCAATCCTTACAATGAGTGGTCCTTCTCAAAACTTGACAGATGAACAGCTAGCGGCTGCGCTGCAACAGCAATATCGCATGGAATTTCTTCAGAGACAAGAAGAACAACAACAACAGCAACAGAGTCAGCGAAATTTGACACGAATCGCCACCACTGCGCCACCTGAAACAGAAGTGGTGTATAATGGAAGCAGAGATGAAGTTTATGCCCATCAGTTGCAGCGTCAAATGCATTCTCCATCCATTCCGTCTCGGATTCAGAATGTTGGTTTTCAAGCAAGCATTTATGATAATAACGCGAACACTAACACTCGACCCGATGCTCCCCAAAGTCGTCCCGACGCGCCGGGCAACAATGCTCCACGCGGGGATATTGAGGATGTAGTGTTGGCGCAGCAACTTCAGGATGAAGAGCTTGCCAGACAGTACAGTAGGCGGTACAACCAACAAAACCAAACCATTGCCAGCAGTGGTACCCTGTTTGATAACTACACGCAGACAAGAGGCACCCACGATGTGGAGACACAACGGCAGCTCTCGCAACAACTGACAGATGCTGAGCTGGCACAGAACTTGGCACAAAGAGAACAAGAAGAGGCTCTACGTCGTGATCGCGAACAACAGTCTCAGCTGCAAAATCAGTCAAAGTGGTACAGACGAATTCTTCCTTTGTTTATTCTTGCGGCTGCCATTACCATTCCGCTACTCTTTGTCTTCGGGGTCTTTTCCAAAAACGATGTTCCATTCCTTGACGGATTCGGAAATGACTGGGTCGATTCGGATCCTTGGAGCGATGTTGGATCCATCAATGGCAACTCTAGCATTACCGTCGGGGACTCTGCTGTGCGATGGGCAAACAATGGAAATGGTTTAAACCTAGAGATCTGGAATGCTATGGAAGACAAATATGATGCACTATTTGCAACTGCTGTCGCGAACTGGGAATCTGGGGCTCCAATTGACTCGTTGACGCTGAGCACAAGAAGAGTCAATTATGACTCTGAATGCAAGGATGAAAATGGAATTCTCAAAGTTTGCAGCGGAAACTATGGTGCAACCAAGTGGAGAGGACTGAACGAAGTTAAACTCAACAGTCTCACAAGAATAATCGTCTCCTCAGTTGCCAAAATGAACAATTTTTATTTGGATACCGAGTCGGAAGAGCAACGGCTCTATACAATTTGCCATGAACTTGGTCATGGTTTTGGTCTCCCACATTGGGTAAGTTTGTCACGAGTTGGACCATTATGTCCTTTTTGACTTGCTACAGTATCGCTAACCCATATTTGCATTATATTGTAGGATGTTGACTTTTACAACCGGGACCTTGGAAATTGCATGGACTATACTATTCGGCCAGAGAATAACATGAAACCAAGTACATCCAACTTTGAGTACTTGGCACGACTCTATGGCGGCCGCAACGTGGCAACGGTTTCCGCCATACAAGCACCAGAGACTGCTCCAGATAGTGAGAACGAATTTGACCTAGGAAAAAAAGATAAGAAGGACAAGGGCAAAAAGGGAGAGAGACGGCGCATTTTGCATAAGAGCGATGTGGAGGAAGTCCATCTTGTCCACTTGGAAGAGGAAGGCATGGTGCTGCTACGTCAATACCGGTTTTGATTAAGAAGATGACTTCATGGCGCGCATAGTCCTAGTGCATAATCAAGACACTTGTACAATACGCTGTTATTTTTTTAATTGATTTAGTCAAGATGGCTAGTTCTTAGGCTAGGGCTAGAGTTACTGTATGATATAATGCTATGGGATCTACAGATTCATTATTTGTTCAATTGTTGTTTACAATGTGTCATAATTGCTTGCGATTGTTCGTTCATTATTTGGCTAGCAAGGTTGACATGGAACATTGGCCATATAGCTGCTCATTCATATCTCTCGAATCTAGTTTCTCAACAAGTGAAGCAAACAATTTCATTTGAATTTTGTGGTTATCTTGGTCATCCGTGATGCCATATTGGGACAGTTTGTTCGAAGATTGTTTTCCGTTCATTGGCGGTGGATGTAAAACGTTTCCAACATTTCGTGTTGGAATCTTTTCTCGAGAATCATCAATGAGAAGAGTATTTGTGGAGTTCCAAAGCGGGTACCGATTGTATACCTTGTTCAATGATTTGACAAATACAACATTGCGTTCATCAATCGAAGAATCACACCCTGCATCGTTTTGTGACTGCATCTGCATCTGACACTGACTTTGACCCCACACAAAGATTAGCTTGGATTGTATATGGTCAGGTATTATTGCTTTCACCAATGCTTGTGCAGTTTTTGGCTTTGCGGATGTCCAGATTGCCAAGCAAAAGTGTTGCGAAAGGAATTCCCAGAACTCATTGAGGCCTGGTCTTGGAATGACAAGGGTTCCAGACACTTTCTTTGCTGACTCGCGATATGGTATGTCTGGATAGGGATCTGCTCGAACCCTATGGCATAAGATTCCATTGACATCACAGATTAGTAGCGGTTTTATGAATATAGTGAAAGGAAGAAGAGGCACGGGTAAAGACGGCAATAAGGATGGTAAGGTGGAATCCTCATCTTCGGCTTGTCCCAGCCGTTGAAGCAGACTTGATGAAACCGTACGAACCACAAGGCTGGCATCGATATCGATATCGCTTTCACTTTCGCTTTGATTAGCACTCTGATGGATCGGCTTTTTCAATATCCTGACGCCCTTGCCATGAGAGGAACATTTCTCTGCTAACTGTAGTACTCTTTCGTTGAACTGTTTCTTCTTTGCTTCCTTTCCATCTGCTGTGTTGTTTTCTTGGGAGTTCCTAACAACCCTTTTTTCTCCTTTGGTCCATCTCCGTTTCTTCCTCTTTTTGCATGCACCATTTACTACCTGTATGTCTTTGGCCATTGGAAATGTATTTTAATACTCGTCGTAATGTTATACCACCATAGGACTTCGTATACTGGACTATATTTTGTGTTTGTGGTGCGATGTGCGATACATATATATCGTATGACTTACTGACTGACTTCACTGAATGAATCAATCACTCGTAATGAAGAAAGTGCGATTGTGTACCGGTACCAGGTACCGGTAACACATACCGGTACGATACGTGTAAAACGTTATATTGAATCTGCTGACTTTAAAATATTTTTATATTTTTCATATTGACATTTTTTCTGACAGATATTATTAATATAATTGAAGCAAATCCATCAAATTCAAAGCGATGACTCATCAATCATACCCACTCACTCACTCATTCATGACACGAAGACACAGAGAAACACGAGCCCATTGAAACATCACATTCAGTCAATGATCAATACACCAGAATCTCGCATCACATAAATCACAAACAAACAAACAAGGTATGTCCTTAGCTATTAATGGAATCCTTCGAGTAGTCCTCTGGACAAGCATCGCTGTCAGCTTCAGTAGTGCTTTCATTCCCAAAAGGACGTTCACGTTCACGTCCCCCGACACGAACAAGTACAGAGCAGGATATCCCACTCTGCTCCATGCTTCGGCACAACAAAATGCTGATTTTGAGTATCAAGAGATGAAGATTCTGACGCAAGCACTGATTTCTCAAGGAGTCTCCAACTCACAAATACCAGCTGACAAGCGTGTCGAGATAGAAGGATACTGTCGCCGCATTGTCAATCAGCGATCAGGATCAATATCACCAGAAAACATTCCAAGTGAGCTGGCGGGCACATCATGGCAGTTAGCTTTTACGTCTCAAAGTCTCGTATCCGACTCCCTGCCACCTGGAACCAACATCAAGCTTTTGTTTAAGAATGAAAATCGACTTGATTATATCCTCGAATTTACCAAGACGTTTGGTCTGAAACAATTGGCTGCGGATAGCAGCTACACAGTTGATGTAAGTTGCAGCGAAGAGTCTTTATGTCCACTTTTTCCTTTGGCTAACCTCATTGGTGCATGAATAAAGACGAATGGTGTAATAGCATACACATATGACGGCATCTCTTGTGATGTCTTCGGGCTAACGAACATCAATGTTGGGGCTTTCGGATTACTAAAGGGTCGGGCTAGTTCCATCCAAGCATCATTCTTTGATGGTGTACTCTTGATTCAAAGAAGCAACGACATGGCTGGGGAGTTTTTCAATGTTTACGCTCGCATTTAGGAACCACAGTGTCACGGGCGTACCTACACAGCATTGTACTGCGTACAGTATGGTCTGTAACGATTGCATTTTAAAAAAAATGGTGTTGCAATAATATTGTTGGCCTTACATACATACGGTAGATAGCACCGGTAGTACTACTGCTACTTCACAAGTATCATCATGTGGATCTTTCGTAGCGATGCGCTCGATCGCGCGAACATCGAATCCTCGTCAATCGATCATCTCATCCCTCCACAGCATCAATTTCGAAATTTATTGGAATCCGCAACACTTTCCCGGAGGCAATACTGCAACAACTGCAACAACTACAGCAACAAAAGCAGCAGCAATAGCGTTATATTCGCAATATCATAGATCGACTCGCAGTTTTCCAGTGACGGGCAATATGTTGTTGATTTCCAGTCGGTCGTCCATACGCCTGGGTAGAGCTTTGGGAGGATATCGCCGGCATCTTTGCCGTGCCATGTCCGCTGACACTTCGTCTGATTCCAACGTCGCTGCGAATTTTTCAAAGTATGAATATCCAAATCGCACAGAGGCTCCGATTATTACCGCGACAACTGCTGATAAGGTCGTAAGTCTCGAGACCAGCGGCTCGTCCATCACTCCATCCAACAAAATCTACGATCCTTCAGATCCTTTTGATGAACGGGGACAATTGCCCCTGGGGGAAAGAGAAAAGATCAGAGACAAACAAACCTCTGATTTTGGTTCAATCAAGCTCTCTAGCTTGCCCATAACAGAATCCGTGCCTGATTTCATCCCACCTAATGTGGCGTCAACAGAATTGAGTGCACCTGAAACCGTTATCACTAAATTAGACAATGGCATCCGTGTTGTTTCGCAAGAAACATATGGGCAAATGTGCACCGTTGGTGTTCTCACAAATGTGGGAAGTCGCCATGAACCAACTTCAGGAATTGTACATATGCTTGAGACTATGGCCTTTGGAAGCACCAAGAAGTACGATGGTTTGCAGATTGCCGAAATGCTACAAGATTGGGGTGGAACTCGATTCGTCAGTCATTCGCGTGAACAGACCCTTCATTGTATTGATATATTGAGACCTAATGTACGAGATGGAATGCAACTTCTTTCAGAAGTTGTTCTCAACCCATTGATCACAGAGGTGCCTCAAGATTTCATGGAGGCTTTGGCAGTTCTAGAGTTCCAGGCGCAAGAGCAACTGCCGGAACTTGTTTTGGGAGAAGCATTGCAAGTTGCAGCTTACGGATCAGACCAACAACTCGGCAAAATTCATTTCGGCACACAAGAAACCATTCCACTACTTACACCAGATAGCGTTCAAAATTTCTACGACAATAGTATTCGGAGCAATCCGGAAGGTATGGTAATTGCTGGAGCAGGGATTGGACATAAAGAGTTGGTCGAATTGGCCAAAGATTACTTTGGTGCAATGAAGCAAAGTGGAAGCCCCGCCACTGTTCCTAGTGCATACAGAGGCGGGTCTCATTTCATTGGCAACTCGACACAGTCTTCCATATTTTCACCAACCATGCCAGAGGAAGACTTCTGTAGGGTCGCGCTGGCCTTTCCAGTTGGTGGTTGGCACTCAGATAGCATGGTCACGGCTTGCGTCTTGCAGACGCTACTGGGAGGTGGGTCATCCTTCTCTGCTGGTGGGCCAGGAAAGGGGATGTATTCACGGATGTACCAACAAGTTCTAAACCGATATGGTTGGATGGAAACAGCCGAAGCCTTCACCACATTTGCCGACGAAGGTGGTTTGTTCGGTGTCAGTGCAAGCACACCAGCTCCGAACAGGGTAAAGGATTTGGTTACTGTTTTGGCAGACCAACTTGCAAGATTGGCTTTTCAACAGGTTGATGACATTGAACTCTCTCGGGCTAGAAACATGTTGAAGTGCAATGTGCTCACTCAATTGGAGTCGAGGTTAATCTTGTTCGAAGACATGGGCCGTCAGGTCTTGACGTATGGAAAGAGAGAAGATGCAGCTACAACGTGCAAGAAGATCGATGCCGTGACTGCAGACGACATTCAAGCCCTTGCACTGCAAATGCTGAAAGGAAACGCACCAACGATTGCAGCAACTGGTAGTCATTTAGACCAGATTCCTTCACATGAAGAAATTGCTCGATGGTTTCAATAATATAATATAGAGCTTTTACCGAAAGATGGTAGCAGTTGGCCGTGTGTCGTTAAATCGTATCATAATCGGTAGCTAGGTATTGGCCTCGGTACGATAGTCGTCTTCAAGATTCTTCAACGACTACCGGAATCCGAGATTCTTCTTCTAAATCACTCTCGCAATCTTTCTATACGGTCGGTTGGGTAGAGTCCAGGAGTACAAAAATGTTGATTCACACTTATACCTCTATGATTCATACACCAGTGATAACAATGATATAGTGTTGAAGACCGGCCAATTATGTATTGTGATTCAAAGGCTGCAGTCAACAAGGCAACAATGCGATAAGAACCAGCCTAGACTATTTGCCAGGTATGGGGAGACTAGCTTTCTAAAATGGGATGTCCATAGCTTACTAATATAGGGTGTCCCTGGACACCTTGTCTAAAATTGGCTCTCATCGCCTTTTTTACTGCAGCCCCTGAATCACAATACCGGTCTACATCACAATATCCTTGTTATCACTGGTGAATGAATCATAGAGGTAGAACCAATGTGACTCAACATTTTTGTGTACTTTTGCTTAATCAATTACGAAAATTCTCATCCCGGACTCCACCCAACCGACCGGATAGAAAAATTGCGAGAGTCATTGGGAAGAAGAATTTCGGATTCCGGTAGTCGTTGAAGAATCTTGAAGACGACTACCATACCGAGGCCAATATCTAGCCACCGATTATGATACGTGTTAGACAAGCAGTGGAGTCGGCAACCTCAAGAGCATTTGTCTAATATGGAGAAAATGTATTGCAATCCATCAAAATAAGAAATGAAACATGAAAAACGAAACGAAAATTCGCAAATGCCACAATAGGGAGGTGTCGGCAAAAGCCATCGAATAAACATTATCGAGTCAAAGAACTTGACCTTGAGACGAAATCAATCACTGCATCCAACTTTCGATGGTAACGAATTTTCCGCATGATTTGGTCAAAGTCAAGGAGAACCAATTTCAATTATGCATCAAGTCTTATCGACATAAGCTGAATGTTTTGCCTTTTTCAAGCACAAGTTAAGGTTCATCTCGAGAAGCAGCAAGAATGATACGATCTTCCATCGCTTGTAGATTTTCAGTAAGAGAGTGTGCTGCATTCCTTCCATCACTTTACTCCAAGTTTCCTTCCCTCTCAAAGAACGAAAATACAAATATGGCTGTCCCCTTTGGAGGACTTCTTGTGATGGAACATTCACCTCAGCTGCCGTTACGATTTCCGATCTGCCGCAACTTCCTGCAGACAAAGTTCACTTCTCCATGTCTTAACAGTCCGTCCGCCGCTCAAGAAGCGCATTTCATACTATTTTGGCGATAGACCCATCTTCTAAAGTCACCCACAGACCTAAAATAAAGATTTTCTCCATACAAAAGTCTTGGCTTAGGTCCATATCTTGCATCCTATTGGGTGGGGCTGTCATCATTATGCTCAGGGAAGTCACTGTAGCTCTAAAATTTGCCACTAGGACTGTAGTGGGCTGAAATTGAAAATGTACAACTTTCAAGATGTGCCTGAATTTCATCAAAAAATGCTACAATCCAACTACTAATCGGAACTCAGATTGCCCATGAGTGATTTCAGGTCAAATTGTACTCATAAGGCATCAAAATAACCAATGATCTGAATTGCTGTCCAAAGCATCAGTTACCTTCTCGACTGCACTGAATGTCTAGAGCATAATCATGATGACCCCACCCAATAGGATGTAAGGTAAGGACCTAAGCTAAAACTTTTGTATGGAGAAAATTTTCATTTTAGGTCTGTGGGTGATTTTAGAACCTGGGTCTTCCGCCATAATAGGGTCTGACGAGTTGCGGACGTACCGTTAAGAAGTCCAATTCAAGATTTCACAATTATTGCTGCGTTGCTCCATATTTACGAAAGATGCGTTTTAGGAAATTGTGGTCAAGTTTTTCTTTTTGCCAAGGGTGCTGTCAACCTGATCGAAAAACAGGAATTGGATTAGTCATCGTCTTACCTACATTGAATAATCCATTTGCCTAATGCGAATACACAGGTTTAGTTTAATTTTACATGGATCATGTATAAAGTATTAATGTCTTCCTAAAGATAATCTCAACCTGCTCGAAGAGCGAACGAAGTTAAGAAGGCATTTCATCTTTGAATACCGTTTTGCATATTGAAATTGCAAGATTTCTAAAGCGCTATCTATGCGCTGGCCATCATCGATCGAGCTACTATTCATTGATCCACTTCCTGTTTTTCTCTTACACCATCTTGTCTTGACGGACGACTTGTAGAGGAAAGTTGTACGCGAAATATACTATCGGCGTAAATTTTGCTTCTGTTGACCTTGAACTTTAATATAGTTTTTGCAGTAGTGCTCCGTTTCAGATCTTAGGCAATTTCGTATTTGCTACAGTTGAAGTACCCAACTCCTCTGCTCTTGTAAATGACTTGCGCAGCACAAAAGCAAACTGTTGTTCGAAGTTCGTCATTACTATTATTTTATTTTGCTGCATTCACAGCGGCATCAATAACCTTCTTGGTGACCTTTGTTGCAGCTTTATCGATTGGTGTTGGTCTGAACAATGCACTCTTTGTCCACTGTAAGATAATTAGCCCAACAAACACTGTCTTGTATTTGTTGATGACCTGCATTGTGCGGCGGAGAAGCTTAATGCTATAGACAGCGCCCTTGGTTGCTTTTACTACTCTCTTGATCGCCTTTGGTGTAACACCATGGCATATTGAAACAATTCGATCCATTTGGGAGTCTTGTATGACTTCTGACATTCCGCCCATTGCAAGAAGCTGCCGAAGCTGACTCTTGTTAGTTTTCTTCAAGTAATTGCAAATTGTCGAATGCGTGTTTTCGTCGTCTAGACGTTTGGACAAAGATTTGATGACAGACTGAGCGAGGCTGCTGCCACTATCTGATCCCAAGGCTTGTGCGAGGTTGTTGCCTCCGCTTCCCATGAGAAGGGAAGCTGGTGAAAAGTCTGACACTGGGGAAGGAGATGAGGGTGACAGTTTATTGCTTTGTAAAAGAGATTCAAACATTGCCCTGTTTGCTGAAGAGTTAGGGTTATGCCCATTAGATGCTTGAACAATAGATTGGCCGTCACTTTGAATCGTGGGTTCTCGCATTAGCTGGCCATACAGTGCAACTCCTCTGCTGTCCCCAAGAAACGCAGCGGACCGAGCATCTTGCATCGCACCACTACGATCTTCCAACGCTAGTTTTGCTTTCGCCCTTCGATGATAGGCCCTTGCCCTGATATAAGGTGAGACGGCTTGAAGAATTTCGCTATTCGATGCATTTGAAGAATCGTCTTGCAAAATCGATGCACAAGCTTCCACACACAAATCGAATCTTTTCTCCTTCAGTTGACATAGAGCTTGATGTAATCTACAGGTAGCATATTCATCAATGTGTTCCTTTTGGTCGATTTGTTCTAATGCATCAGCCGCTTGCTGGAAAAGCTCGCCAGCTTTCTTAAACTCCCCTTCGTCATGACATTCTTTTCCCTGTAGTCTCAGTTTTGTCGCAAGCTCTACATTTTTATTGATTTTGCTGTCACTGATTTCATCGCTTTCGCTTTCGCTTACGTTTTCGACATCGGCATTTCCCATTCCCTGCTGAGAATCTGATCCTCCTCGAATCATGAGAGATCGAAACTTGCGTCGCGTCGTTTTTCTTGAGACGCATATTGAGATACGCTGTACTCGTACTCGTACCGGTATTTGTATTTGTTTTGGAATCTTTGAACCTTCTATTCTTAGCAAGTTACACAGACAGACAGTCAACATCAAGGTCGACAGGTTGATTGAGCCCATTCTCGGGCATAAAATGACTCTATTGTGAAGGTTAAGGTTCCGAAAGGCTTTGTTTTTGAGGTTCCAAGATCTGATGTCTGCCTACTTGAAATCGACTACTGGTACACGTGTACTGGTACTGTACTGCCTGTAGTATTTCGATGATGTTTTGTAATTCGTTTGATTTGATTTGATTTGATTTCTTAATTTTGCGCGGTGCTCTTTCAAAAATCAAAAGTTCGAAAGTACTGGATTCATATTCAACGTGTGACAGACAGACTTTGCCCGGTTCCTCACACACATCATTTTGTGCTAACTGTATTTTGCACTCGCTCACATTGTTCATTCATTCATTCATTCATTCATTCAGTCGACTGCAACACGACAAATATACAGGCTGTAGTGCTTCTGCAGTCTTTTCTTTTCGGCAATTCTAGGAAATTGACTGACTGCCTGACTGTCTGATTGACTGCCTGACTGATTGACTGATTGACTCCAAAGCTATGAATCAAGATTCGGCAGACGACTTGCGTCAGAAGGGAAACCATGAGTTTCAACAAGGCAACTTGGACAATGCTGTCTTCTTTTATACTTCTGCGATCGAAAAATCGACTCAAACAAACGACAACCAAGCACTGATTCTAAACTGCTGTAATAGGTCTGCGTGTTTCTTTCAGCTGGAGGAGTACGAAAAAGCAAAAGAAGATGCTACTTTAGCGTGGAAACTGAGTAAAGAATCCAATGTAAAGGCATCATACCGTCTGGCAAAAACACTTCTCGCATTAAAGGAATTCGACGGGACCGAAAAGGTTCTCAAAAGCGCTCTTACGATTGAAGGTTTGCAGACACAAGAAGAACAAGCCCTTCGCGATTTACTGAAGCAGGTAGAAAAGGAACGCGCACAACCAGATAATACAGCTGAGGAAAAATCCATCAAAAGTGTCAACAGACCTGTGTCTATCAGAGAGTTCGAGAAGAAGGAAACCTTAGGGTGAGTAGTGTCATTGTCACGACATACTGCTGTACACTTATTTTATTATGTCTATTGTTATTATGTCATCTGAAGTTCAATCAATACTCTTGCAACATTTGAATACTAACGCTTAATCTCACTGCAAAATTCCGCAGAGTCGGAAACTTTAGTGAAATCTTAGTTGCTCGACACAAGATAACTGGGGAAACGTTTGCATTGAAGGTTCTCGAAAAGAAAAAAGCAGCCGATCTTGCGAAACGACAACATCCAAATGTCTACAATGAAATTTCGATGGAAGCCAGGGTTTTGATGGAAAGGCTGCCGCCTCATCCCTCCGTAGTTACAATGTATCACTCGTTTCAAGATTACAACAATGTGTATTACTTGATGGATTTACAAAACACGAACAAAGACCTGTGGTCTCGGCTGCGGCACAATGGATGCATGGTGGGATGCCATTCTTCACAGGCCAAGCGATGGATGCTTCAGCTGGTTGATGCTTGTGAGCATATACACAAGCATGGTATTGTTCATCGTGATTTAAAGCCCGAAAATGTGCTCTTGGATGGGAAAAACCATGTTGTCGTCATCGATTTTGGGACGTCAAAGGATCTGATACAAACCGACTTGAATGGACCAGAATTCGTTGGGACTCCCGACTTTATGAGTCCTGAAGCGGTGACTGGATTCTCAGGAATGCCAAAGGAAGGGAAAGCAGATGGTGCCACTCATTGCGCAGACTTGTGGGCGCTTGGAGCCATACTTTACATTTTGCAAACAGGATCTACTCCTTTTTGGAGTCCAAGCCCCTACCTAGCATTCCTGAAGATCAAACGAGGACTTCTCGCACGAAGTCGTTTTGGAATCCCAGATGATCCAACTTGGGACCTCATTCAGAAGCTCATGAACGTCGATCCGGCAAAGAGGCTAGGAGCTGATTCGTTCAACGTTGAAAACGGCAAACTTGTGGAGAACAAAGGATATGGCGTTTTGAGACAACATGAATACTTCAAAGGAGTGGATGAAAACGACAAAACTCACGTCATCCCTTCATTGCAGGATCTGTGTATCCTAGCTTGTACCGATTTGGCAAAGAAGGATGCTGTTGACCTGGATCTCTGTGAAAAGCACCCACCTGGAGACGGATCGGCACATGATTTGACACGTCTACCCGCATTTCACAAGGGCAAGGTGCTACATATTCTTGACAAGTCAAGGGTCTTTTCTCAAGGTGACGAGACTCGAGTTTTCCGCCGATTTTTCGAGAAAGATATTGATTTCGTGAAATCAAAAGTTCGACCTGAATCTAGAGACTTTGTTGGATTGACGCAGATGATTGATGATGAGTACAAGCCTCAAAGTGCTCGAGGAAGTGCAGATCCTTATGCCAAAAAGGATGATCCTTTGCCAACACCTCTTGCTTTCCTTTCCAGCCCTTTGCTCCTGTCCGCGTCTACAGACTGGTCGGAGGACGAAGAAAAGAAACTGATCAAAGGTTGGAAGACTTCCATCAGTCACATCAACAAAACACGGCCGAAAGCGGTAATTGTGTGTGGGCAACTTGACTCCAGTCCAAAGATCTGGAAGTTCTTGACTCGGATTCGTGATTCTATTCCAGTTATTTGGAACGATGGGTCTTCTTTTTACACCTTTTGGTTGAACGGATTCCAAGGCATTGTTCTGCATTCGTCTGGTCTGCAAGATAGAGATGGGGCGCAGATGCTTTGGTTGCAGGAGCAAATGGAGCAATCTCGAATGGCAAAGCATCGAGTATTCTGCTTTTGCGACTGCGATCCAAAAGATCTTCCGGAATTGGTATTAAAGCGTTTAGCAAGGGGGCGAGTCGCCGCTCTTTTCGGTCTTTCAAACTTCGAAAACTATGAGGACATTATTGAATACGTTGCAAACGAAAAAATGGAAGATGATGTGTCTGTCAAGTCTACTGACAGTGAAGAGGACAAGGATGACTGTGCAACTATGAAAGTATTTGGGAGTATAATCAACGGAATTCGAATGATTACAGTTGAGGAGACAATGGATAGCTGGAATACTACCTTTGAATTATTAATAACAGCCTAGTGATCATTAGACGGAAGGGTCACCAGACTATGCACGGTACTCATTCAGTTCCGTCTGACACATTCTTTACGTCAGTGGTGTTGATTGCAAAATATCCGACATCAGAACCTCCAATCATCTCTACACTCTTTGTCGAAATTACAACATGACTCGGCTAACTTCATTTGTAGGAATCCTCACTTTTGCATCGGTATCTGCTTTCAGCCAGCATTCAACCCCGAGAAATCAACAAGCGAAACTTCAAGATTCAGGAGATGTCAATGTTGTTGCGAAAGCCTTAGCGACTGCTGCCATGACAGCTTTTTTGTGGGCTGCACCCATGCCTCTGACGCACGAGTTGCATGGATCTTCATATATCGCTAACGCCGTCGAAAAGGCGTCGGGAACTGGAAGCCGAGTGAATAAGGATGCAGACTCGCTTCTCAGATTGGGTTTGCCGATCAAGAATAAGGAGGTACGTCTTGCATGGAGTTCCTGCACCTTTTTGTTATCAAACTTTCTCACGAAAAACCGCCTGCAGGTCCGTGGACTTCAAGAGACTTTGGAAACAATCAAGTACGATATTGGATCGAAGAGAAAATCTGCTGCTTTGGATGGTGTGAAGAAGTCGAAATCTTATTTGACGGGAAAGACAGCTGAGAAAATGAAAGCATCGTGTCGTTCTCCTTCCGTGTGCGCTTCTCTCATTACTGAAATTGACTCTTTGCTTGATCCTCTTCAAGCATCAATGAAGCAAAGTCAAGATGCATTCACAGGCAGTGAACAAGAGCGAACAGCACTAGACAAAGCATATGACGCACAACAAAAGGCAACCACGTTTTTGACGGATTTGGAGGAACAAATGATCCCTGAAAACTACGAGACTCCTGTTCCCTCTGACTATTCAGACTTGCCTCGGCTGACGAAGCGGGCAACCGTTGAGATGGTTGTTAAAAAAGCCGAAGCCGGTGCACAATTTGATGTCAATGGCGTGAATTTCCCAGAAGCTAAAATGACAATGGTGATTGATGGTTATACAGGTGAGTACACTTTAAAAAGAAACGAATCGAAACAATGTTATATCCATTGGTTACTCATTGCCTTATTTACTTTACAGCTCCAATCACAGGAGGCAACTTTGTAGATTTGGTAAACAAGGGATTTTACACCAATATGGCCATTCAAAGATCGGATGGATTCGTTGTGCAGACAGGTGATCCAGATGGTAAGGCCGTCGGCTATGTTGGTACTCCTGGCAAAGCTATTGGTGCTGGTCCAAATGGAGAGAGACTGATCCCTACTGAGATTTTTGTGCGGGGAGATAAAGGCCCATTCTATGAGTCGACCATTGAGGATGAAGGCCGTGGAGGTGAAGCTACCATTCTTCCTTTCTCTGCATATGGTGCAATGGGTTGGGCGAGAGAAGAATATGATGTCAACTCTGGAAGCTCCCAATTCTTCTGGTTGCTGTTTGACTCCGATTTGACCCCAGCTGGAAAGAATGTGCTCGACGGACGTTATCCATGGTACGAATCACAAATAATTTCCGGACACGTATTTATAAATTCAAGCGATGAGCACGAAGCCTCACCATGTGTTATTTTTTCTTTCTGCAGCTTTGGATATGTGGTCGAAGGATCTGACTTTCTATCCGATATTAAGGAAGGCGATGTCATTGTAAGTGCAAAGGTGACAAAAGGGCTTGAAAACTTGGTGGAACCAAAGGCTTAGTCTAAGGTAGAGCTAAAATAGTACTTCCCTAAACGCGCGCGCGGCCGAATGACTGAGAATCCAGTTTGCGATGATGACCGTTTGACGTTTGAACCTGAATTTCAGCATTGCAAACTACTGTACATTTTTACTGAGAAGGTCTGAATCCATCCTCAGCATTTTGGCGGGCTCAGTTAAAGTTGCCCTAGTCAGTCAAAGTCAGCCTGTAATCCACCTCTTTGATCGTCTCACTCGGAAAGGGAGAAATTTGATTTAGCAAGATGGAAGAGACAGCAAGACAACATTTCATCATTGGCGATAACTTGCGTCACAAGGCATTTTATGATGATGCCATTGATGAGTTCAGCAAGGCCCTTCAGATCCAACAATCTGTTCTGCCTGAAACCTCTCCGGTGATTGCCAAGACTCAGTATTCCTTGGGATTGGCGCTGAGGGCCATTAAGGATTATGCTGGGGCGCTAGAACTGTTGTCAAAAGCAGCCTCAACTTTTGAGAGTCAGGAAAATGCCGAAGACTACGAAACTGAAATCTTCAACTGCCAGCTTAACATCGCACGAACCCATCACAGTCAAGGAGTTGATTGGCAACGAGGCGGTGACTATGATAGGTCCATCACAGAGCATCGAAAATCACTTGTCATTCGGGAAAAGCTATTGGGATCCAAGCATCTCGAGACAGCGCGGACGTATTACGTTATGGGCTGTGCGCTTAGCGATCGTGGAGATTTTGATGAGGCTCTTAGTGATCTCCGAAGGACTTTTCGCACTCGTCGTGTCATATTTGGAAAAGACCACATGGATACTCTAGAAGTGATTGACAACATGGGAGTGGTGCTTCATGCAAAGGGTGTGATGAGTAGTGAGGATATCGACCAATACAAGGTAGTTGTAGTGCAATCCGTGCAGTATGAACTGGAGGGTGATATGCATTATGACAGCAAGAACTTTGAGCAAGCAATGCTCAGCTATCGAAGAGCTCTTGCATTGGAAGAACAATGCCTTGGAGATTTGCATCCGACGACTTGTGACTTGTACCTTCAAATGGCCGATGTAATGGGAGAACTCGGCGACTTTGAAGGAAGTTTGGTTGAATACAAGTCAGTCATCACCATCTATGAACGACTACTCGGAAAGTTTAACATCAAGGTGGCAGAGATTTACAACAGATTGGCAAACATCCTTATGGATAAAGGAGAATACGAGACGGCTCTAAGCTTCTACGCAAAGGCATATGGTATCTTTGATTCCCTCTTGGGTGAGCATAGTGATACTAAGCTTGCGATGGAAAACATCCGTTTGGCAGCCTCCAAAGATCGGAATGCCAGTGAGTCGATGAACCTGATAAAGAAAGCTGAAGAGACTTTCAAGCAGAGGCATCCAAGTGCGGCAGGGTACACTGGCCCTAGTGCTGATAATGGTATTGAATCTGCTGAAATAAAGGAAAGTGAGAAGCAAATGGAAGCAATCGTGAAAGAACCAGAGGCCGACATCATTTAAACCGTCATTAAGTAGTCTTTTTTTTTAAAAACACGTATGCAAACTGATGCACGGTGTCACAGATCAGCGTTTCTAACAACATTCTGTTTATTAGTCAGTCAGAGTCTCGGTTCCGTAAAACAGTAACCATAATAACCAAGAAGCAACATGAAAGTCTTTGCAATTTACCTCCTATCATACCTTTGCATTAGTGTTTCGGCGTTTAGCTCTACACAAAAGTCTATTCGCAGTGATGTTTCCCTATCAATGGCGGCAGACAAGAACTCCGACATGATGCGATGGGCACGTGCGGCACGATCGGCAGGAAGGTAAGCCAGCAAAACCATACCAGGAGAGATAGATATAATCCACTTCGTGTTTTCTGACTCTTCCCTTTTCGTGTATCCCTTTTTCCGTTGTGCAATTCCCGTTGTTGATTTGTGTCCTTGCTGTGATTTTCTTCTGCCGTTCGTCTTCAGTGATGACACCGTCGTTGAACTTATGAAACCCTTGGGAGTTATTTTGAACCAAGATGCCAGTGGAAACGTTTACGTTGAAACTGTAGCGCCAAAGGGTAACGCAGCGAGAACGGGAAAGGTCAAAGAAGGAGACATCGTCACAATGTGCTCGGCTACATTTGGCGATGAAATGTGGTCAACGAGAGGTTTGTGGATTCAGTGATTCTAGAGTGTCTATCCTTCTATTGAAATGCTAATCATGTTCATTGCAATATTTTTCATAAAGGTGTTGGATTGACCCGTGTACTGGCCGCGATCCGTGTTCGATCAGGAAACACTGTCAAATTGGTATTGGAAAGCCCTGACCAATACAAAAAGAAAGCAGAGATCACAACAAAGCAACGCCAAGCCATGGAGGATGCCCGCAAGGCTGCTCAAGCCAAGAAAGATCAACTTCTTTCGGAGCTTGAAAAAGACGAGGAGCGTTTGAAGTCAAAGAAATTCTTCGGTCTGTTCTAGACTTGCAGTTGGCACAGTAAGAAAACATACAGTATGAATATATATATATATATATAATCACCAGGAATTTGTTGACGGGGGCGTCGAGTCTGTAGTAGAGTTGACTTTATGTTGACTTTCTCGATTAAGTAGGTATACCCGAGAGTTGCGTTCAAGTACCACCCACTTCCAGCAAAGATTGAAATTCTTCAAATGCCTCCCGTCTTGCTGATGACATAGCAGACTGGAGCCTCAGACGGTTTGCATCCCGTTCTCGTTCAAGCAATGATCCTGTTAATCTGACAACTTCATTGCGATCGTGTTCCAAAAATAAAATGCGGTGGCGGAGTTCTGCCACAAGCATACGCCATATTTCTTCTTTTTGCTTTAAAGACCCGGCATCAAACTCCTCGTCGTGAACTGTTGAAGACTTCAATGGGGAAGAGGGAACCCTTCCAGATGCCCTCGAGTGGACAGATTCACGCATTGCCGACACGCTTGACCTGTTGATAGATCTGCTGCCAGTCAAGAAATCTGAAAGATTTGTTTCGCCGTGCATCATTTCGGATAAGGCCTCTAGTTGATCCAAAACTGAGGTTTCTTTCTCGTTTTCGCTTTCCTGACCATCCATGAGATCCTTGAGATTATTCAGGAGAAGAATTGTGCCATCCAAAAGATCATTTGAAGGTGGATCACTGTCGGCGCTATGTTCACTGAAAGGAGACTCTGAGACATCGTTGGGCATCTTCTGAGAGACTTTTGTTGGCACTTCATTCAACCTTGAACCGTCAGATGGTCTCAAATTTTCGGAATTTGGAGCTCCCTGCTGTAATTCCCCTAGCATTTCTTCTCGCTCCTGATCCATCTGATCAATTTCTTCCAACAATCCATCAATCTTTCTCTCCACATTATCGGATCCCATGCTTGCGGTTTCCGAGTGCTCTACACGCAATATTGGAGACAAAACAACCCCTGAAAGATTACCGTCAGTAGACTTTGATTTCACTTTGAAGGGAGTTGAAAAATCTCCTTTCGATTCGTTCCTAGATTCAAAATGTGATGACCAATCAGTGGCTTCGGGTTGCCCTTGACCTAACCCCTGTAACAGTTCTTGTATCTCTTCAGCATGTTCAGTTTCAATTCGCGTGACATGATTTTGCAGGCTCGAGTCGATACTGGATCCACTAGCTAAACGGTGTTCAACATTTGCAAATTTCCCCATGGTCTCACTCTGGAACGATGCGTGCCGGTCTGAAACCGTGTCCTCTTGCTTTCGAAAGTCCTCAAGCTCGTTAGTGTCCCCAGATCCGTGAAGCTGCTCCAACTTAGTTCGCAGCTTACGGTGCTCATGGCGCTCTTCCTCGTACTTTTCTTTCAAGTCTGCCATTTGGCAACGATATACCTCGACCTCTGCCTTCAATTGATCAGTGATGATATGGTGATTTTCCTGCAGCTGTTGAATCTCCAATTCGAGGCGGTGGGCTTTCGGTCCATGCTCGTGGATGAATGACTTCAAATCTTCACATTGTTCGATGGCAATTTCAGTCTTTACATTTTCTTCCTTGCACTTTTTCTCTGTGTCGATAAGCTGAAGTTCTAGGTTTTTTACCTCTTGCTCGGCTCTCTGCTTTTGATCTTTCAGCACATCAAAACCGTCCTGAAGTTGCTGTTTCTCTAATACTGTTGCCGCCAGTTTTGCCTGTGCTGCAGCCTTTTCCTCTTCTTTGCCACTCACGACCTCTCTTAAAGAAGTCATGTCGAGACTTTGTCTTTTGAATTTTTCATCCAACCTATCATGCTCTTTTTCGATGTTTACCCTGAAATCGATTTGCTCTTGTATCTTCTCTTGCAGCGCCGACATTTCATCCTTGTGTAGTTGTTGGGCACCCTTCAATTGTTCAATTTCCAATATTAATGTGTCCTTTTTCCCCTCCAATTCTTTATTATGTTGTCGAGATTGAAGTAGTGCATCTTCCAATTCTGCCAGTTCCTTTGCATGCTTTACCCGAGCACGCTTTCCTTGTTCATGAACTTCTTCAATCTCTTCAGCATGTCGCTTTTGCATTTGTTTTAGAGTTTCTAAGCGAAGACTTGCCGATGACTTGGATTCTACATCCTTTTGAATTGTCTGTAGCTGTCGATTGAGGGCACTGCATCTAACTTCGAGCTCCATTCGTTTCTCCCTCTCCGTTTCCAGTTGCAATTCCAATGCTGAGGCACTAGATCTTCCAGGTTTGGGAATGCGAGATTGTGGTGACAGGAGTCTGTTTTTTTCTTTCTCCCATTTAGTTTCGTTTTGTTCCACGCGATCTCGTATGTTGGAGAGCTTCTCTTCAATAAGTTGGGACTCCTTTTGTTGGTTTTCCCAATAGTTTTGCAGTTGTTGATTGCGCTGTGTCATTTGATTGATGCCTTTGGGTTCTGTAATTGAAATCTCCAATGCCTGTGAGAAAGACTCTGTAGGCCTTGAATCACCGGTTGCAGAGAGTAAATCATTACCGATGTTATCACTCATGTCGGCAGCTGTACCACTCATTTCAGCATCTGTCGATGGCGTGTTGAGTAAAGACTCGGTGTCATCACCATTTTCATCTTCAAACAAGTACGAATATTGATTAAAGTCTGGCAGCCCCAGTGTCTTGTTCAGCATGGACTTGTAGAGCATGCTGTCATCCTCTTCGTTTGCCATTGTGTTGCTTTCCGTCTGGGCAGTTCCATTCCCGTACTAAAAAAAGCTCTGAAACATTCACACGCTGGATGGCAAAACTGAAACCTACAGTTCCGGTATGATGATATGACAACATGAAAAAAAGTTATGGTTTGTTATCGGTTCTGGGTCGAAGTAGTCATAATTTCAAATTGTTGAAGAATCGAATGATTTGATTTGATTTGATTTGATATACCGGTACAATATATCGGTACATATTGAATATGATGTGTGATGCATCTATCACGAGTGTTGATGATTGGCAGGGTAACGGGTAACGGGTAACGGGTACCGGTTCAGACATGATGATACTAGGTAATCTGTAGCTCAGGTCCATACAAGTACTACAGTTTACCAGAGTGCTCATTTTTTGTCTTACATGTCAAGATGCGATGATTATAAGTTATTCTGAACTTTATTGGTAGCCATTTATTATTTTAACAGTGGTAGTATGATGCGATATACAGTATTTCTTAGCTTCCGCCCCAAGCTGCCCCATCCCCAATCCGCATTTTTTAAATATCAACAAGCCTCTCCTCCTTTTTATCAAAAATGGGATCTGGTTTGTCCCAGCCTTCTCCTGGCGTCGCATCCCATGTCTTTGAAAGGTACCAACCATATTTCTGTGACCAATTACCTTCGACAAAGAATGAACTACTAGATTGCTTCATCGATCTCAAAAAGCCGGATTCTTTTTGTGGCTGTTCCTCCTCGGCTTGTTTGACATCCTCTCTTCTCTTGTGAGATGCCCCTGGATGCCTTGATCTTTTCGATGCCAAGGAAGACGAAGATGTAGAAGCAGTTGAAGCAGTTCCTTTTGTATATATTGAGGATTCCTCGTTCATGTATATACTCATCATATAACTGCTGTCTATATCATCTAGATCAGCGTCTATTGTGACCTCGTTTGAAAAATCTTGGGAGAAAGCTTGTTGACGGAACCTGGCCGCACTGGAAATGGCGCGGTGATTCTCTCTTGATGCCACCGGTACTGGTACTGGTACTGGTACCGTTGAACGAGACGAGGGTTTTCTCAAAGCAGGTTGTCGTGGTTGTTGATGTTGCATCGTTTGTGTTTGTGTTTGTGTTTGCGGAACACCATGATGGGGCATGTCCTCCAGGAGAATCGTTGGTTTGAATACTTCACCGGTATGGCTGGATTTCCTCGTCAAATCTACAGTTATGCCTGGATTGACAATATTGTCACTCCGTTGGTTTGTGTAGCTCTGTTGCCTGTTCCTTGCTGTAGTTTTTTTAATAATACAAATACCGTTTCCGCTGTCATTTCGATTAGTCCTATTGCCTCCACTTCCACTCGCATTACTCTTCACGTCGGGCGTACCGGTACAATTTGTGCTAGAAGGACGACTCATGCGCATACGCATACGCATATGCATATGCATATCCATTGGGGAAGTGGAAAAGGGCATCGTTTCTCCTTCTGGGCAAGTATCAAGGGAGCAGGACATTGCCTGTTGAAGTCCAAGGTAGTTCTTTACATTCAGAGCGTTCTGGCGAGGTTGCAAACTAGCATTATAATCACTTGTCTCTCCTGCTGGACGACTCTTGGAATTCCCCCATCGTCTACTAGGAACACTCATGCTTGTTTTATTATACTGTACAGGACAGCACAGCACAGCACAGCACAGCACAGTACAGTACAGTTACAGTACAGTGGGTTGTTTTGATTCTACAGTATTTAGGAGCGGTATTGATGATTCAATCAATTAGGTAATTCAATGATCGGCAACAGCACCCGCAGGCGTGTCTTGTTTGAATCTTGCACAATTTGCGCAACGGAAAGTTATTGTATCCACTCGCCTAATTGGGTCCAACTAGTCGTTATGGTGGACGATGTGAAATGTAATGTCTGCCGACCAAAACTCTGAAATCAATCTACTGTAGTTACTCGTACTGTACCGGGTTACCGGTAGATACTGTAGATACTGTACGCAGTACCAGGTAGTCATCAGGAAAGATACTGTACCAGGTACAAGAGCAAGAATTAATACCTACTATTGTAATTTACTCTGTATTCAACCTGAATCATCCCTGAGTCACCATCAACTTCCATACGGCAAGCCAAGTAGCATCAAGAAGCCATGGATTCAATTTTAATTCCTGCCTTTCGACTACAAGAATCGATGAAAGAATTGGTCGTTGATCCAGCACTGCATGGAGGAATCCAAGTTTCCAAAATCACATCCAATGGAGCAATTCGTTCGCGAATAATCTCCCTCTCTTCAGACAACCTCGCTCTCTTCATTACACATGAGAAAATCAAGCATCCAAATGCCTCGGCGACTTCAGTTGCAGCTAGATTGCCTGTTCCAATGTACACCTTGTCGAAAGGATTCTCCTTTTCTGGTTCCAAACGCCTGACGGACCAATATACTCGTCACATCGATGCATCAGACCTTGACGGCTGGCAAACTGGCGTTATTGGGACAATCAAGTTGGAAAATGCAAGGGCGAGAAACCCAAAGCTCAGCTGGGATCGGTTGGTGCACAAAACAATCACTATTTTTCACCATGGACTCCAAACTGTAGACTTTATCGTTGAGAACGACAATCATCGAAACGCGTTGATCAAAGCAATGGAAGAGATTCGGAAACGATATCATGCCAACGAGCAAACAATCGCCAATGATTCATTACTGCTGAGATATGTTTGGTATGATATTGATACAGATAAGGATGCAAAGATATCAGAAAAGGAATTCTTGAAGCTATGCGATCGCATCAATCTACAAAAAAGCGATCTGAAGAAAAAGTTTAAAGACTTTCTACGTTCGAGCAACAGCACTCGAAAGAAGCTAGTTTATGGAGAATGCAAAGCTCTACTTCAATCCATCAAATCGGAAATGACCGTATCCATGACGGAAGAAATATTTTCAAAGATATTTGGAGACGACTTCAAACAAGGGGTTTCGGCCAAGGATCTGTTAAAAAAATTCTTGAAACAAGCTCAAGGGGATGGTAATGCCAGCTTGGGTGATGCTAAGAGACTTATTGCGACGTTTCAGACACTTGAGATGGACACGGTGAAAAAGAATAATACCGCTGATACGTTGACTGATTTTGATGCCTTTGAAGAGTATCTTTTATCCGAGTCCAATGATGCATATGACCCGAGAGCAAGGGAGTCGAGTCCGAAGCTTGACAAACCCATATCCCACTATTGGATCAATACATCTCACAATACATACTTGACTGGTACGAGCGAGACCTCTTGCTGGATCGAGTGTTTGGGCGATGCTGACTTGCAAACAAAACCTTACATCATATCTCATTCCTTGCTGTCGTTGTTCTTGTTGTTGTTCTGGTTGTAGGGGATCAGCTCAAATCTAGATCTTCGGTCGAAGCCTATGTCAAATCATTAATGCGAGGGTGCAAGTGCCTTGAACTTGATTGTTGGGATGGAGATGAAAAGACGAATAAAGCTGTCGTTTATCATGGTTTCACCCTCACAACAAAGATCCTCTTTCGTGACATTTGCTTGGTTGTGAAGAGCTATATCGATGCCAATGGGGGTGAACTCCCCATAATCCTCAGTCTGGAGAACCATTGCTCTCATCCATTCCAGCGAGTCATGGCTCAAGACATGGAAGAAATTTTCGGTTCATTGTTGTTCGTACCGTCTGAGAAGGAAATTGGAAAGAATGAACTCCCAAGTCCAGAAAGTTTGCGAGGCATGATTCTAGTGAAAGGGAAAAGGCCAGAACAGTTGGATGATATTGCCGACGATGAGACCACCGATGCGGAGATCGATGGGGATGATCCATACAGCGATCAGTACAATGGAGCACCAGTGGAGGAAATAAAAAAGGATCCCAAGAAGCTACCAAAAATTGTTCAAGAACTCGCGAGACTGACTCTCTTTCACGGGAACAAATTCAAGTCATTCCAACAGTCCAAAGCTCAGGATCCATCACACATGCACTCCTTCAGCGAAACAAAAGTGGCAAAAATCATCCAAAAGAAGAACGAAAATTCTAACCTCTGGCGAGCGTACAATGTCTCCCATATGAGCCGAACGTACCCTGCGGGAATTAGGGTAGACTCTTCGAATTACAATCCGTTGTTGGGTTGGAGTTTGGGTTGTCGTGAGTTTTGTTCGATGTTGAACTTCCCCTTTCCGATGTCGTGCTGTGATAGTTGTGCAAACTGACTGACTCACTCTTGCCATTATTCCTTTCTCCGCTGCAGAATTGGTTGCCTTGAACTTTCAGACACACGATACTAATCTAATGCTGAACGACGGTAGATTCCTTCAGGGAGGTGGATGTGGATATGTGCCAAAGCCAATGAGTACAATGAAGGCACGTGATTTTCGTGCGAGCAATCGAATTGTGATAAAAGTTCTCAAGGGCAACTGTATACCAAAACCGCGAGGAGATGCTAATGGCGAGATTGTTGACCCATACATTACTGTGGAGTTGCACGACATAGATTTCAACGATGGGAAAGAAGAAGTTGTTATATCCTCTGAAACAACGCCGGTGATTTCGGACAACGGATTTTCTCCACTCTGGGACAGTGAAGAAATGACATTCGAAGCAAGGCATCCTGATGTTGCCATGTTTTTATTCAAGGTGATTGACCAAGACCTTGGGCTCGATGATCACATTGCAAGTGCCGCAGTCCCAGTCTCTTGTTTGCGGCGAGGCTATAGATCTCTTCAGCTTAGGAGCCCGGTGGATAACTCGAGGACAGGACCATTCATGTTTGCTAGCCTCCTGGTACACATTGATCACGATATGGAATACTTGCATTGAGCAGTGTAAACATTAGGATGTCGAGCGATGCAAACACAGCATCACAAATAAAGCTAAGAACGGCACTATCCTGTATCCTGTAAACTTGCTCTACTATTTATATTATAATACACTATACAGCTTTATATTCTTCTGGTCGGTCTTCTAGCATGAATTGCAAAGTCTTTTTTTTGATACGACCGTTTTGTGTGAAGAATGGAGAATCCTGTGGACCTCCCGTTTTGGCTTCCTCAGGTGATGTTCTCGAGCCACGAGATTTTTAATTTTCTTTTTCGGCCGAAGAATCGTGTTTCGACGAAATTTCCGTATTCATCGGATTGACCCCACTCTCACACCATAGATCATTTCTTGATGTCCCAAAGTTGCAAAAAGTACTTCCAATAGCAAGGCAATGTATTCTACAACATGTAGAGTACGGTATGTGAAAAGGTTGGCCATCCCGCGTCAAAGTCGCAGAGCATTTTAACGGATACATAAAAATTATTTAGCTTGAAAAACAAATTCTCAAAACAATCCAAACGGACAGATTTTGGGCACATAATGGCGATGATGCTATTGTCCAAGCAAGACACAACAGCCTCATCGATGAGTTTGAAGCCCTTGATGAAATTCACCAACAGATATCACTGTCTTGCTCATCAACGGAATCCCCCAGATATAGTGCTGCTCAAAAATCTTGTAGAAAACATATTTGAGAACGGATTTGGCAATATTGGGACTGATCTTTCTTTCATAGGCATAGTAGTACCTGGCCAGGGATCTGGCAATGTCTCCCATTCCTTTCAGGATCTTTCTGCTCTCCTTGTCTCAATTGTTTAGGAACTTATTGCATCCAGAATTCTTGTTGAAAACCAAAGAACGAGGTAGTATGTGTCTTTTGCAAAATGAAAAAGTTCCAATCATTGCAAGGTACGCTTGCGATAGGTGCTGTCCTTCTGGTATCAATCCAAATTGGTTTAGCCGAGCTTGGAACTGTGAAATTTTGGGATATGAAGCCAAGTACTTCTGTGATAAGAAACGAATCCAGAACTGTAGCCCATAGCATAATGAAGTAGCTGATGTCAGAGCCTGTTCTGTGCTCTTATAACATTGTGTTTCTGGCCTCCCTTGAGTTTGACGCGGGATTGATGCAACTGCATCTGTTTGACGCGGGATTTACGCAATTTCTTGAAATTGACGCGGGATTGACGCAACTTGCGTCAATTTGACGCAAAAATTTGCCCCAACGTTTCTCTTGCCTCCCCACCAACCAACTGGCAGGAGAGCAAGACACATACTGCTGTAACGTCAAAAGGTGACCGTGACATCCTTGACCGTGATGGTCCTAACTCCTCTGCTGGGGACGGTACCTCTCCGCGTACTGCTTCTGGTACGTCTGCTTTTGCGTCGCTTTAAAGTCAGTCATACGGGGGGGGGGGGAGACCTGACCAACGGGTCGGTCTCTTTTATGTGCAGGAAGGCAATCAAATCTGTGGAGGAGTTATTGGAAAACCGGCGAATGGACCAAGGCAGCTGGTACCAGTGCATGCAAAAAGCTGTCGCATTCAAACAAGGTCGCGCTACAGGATGGCCGCTGGCACATCTCGTCTAATCTGGGACCGGGTCGGCGAAGATTACGCCGAGCCTGCTTTCCGGATACTGTACAGTATGTCACACGATCTGAAGACATCAATGCATGTGAAAATGAATTGAAAACATATGAAGTATGGGTGGCGTTCTTCACTGCCGTCATGACCCAACATGTGTTAGTGGTCAATACGAACGGTGATACTGAGGATGCGGTATCGGGTATCGACTATAACTAGTCGTACAGCCTCGCAACTAATAGTGGCCGCGAACGATGTGCGGCACATCCCAGGTGCAGAGGGATAAGTTCAGAAGACCATATTATGGGGATCAATATCGGGGGACGATATTATGGCGGCACACCATACACTGCAAGAAACAAACAGAATAAGAAGCCCATAGACTACCGATATATCTATCTATCCGACAGTCCTACAGTATCGTATGTATCTCCCAATCAATGCTTTAGTGTGAGATATTACTTCATGTTCCATCATCTCAATATTCAAATTACAAGTAGGGTAGGAATACAAGTGCACCACCCACGTTTAGAATAAAAGAGAACGACTACGACTGCGTGGAGAAGATGATCAATCTTGGCAGAGGATGGCCCGATCCTTCTCTTCTTCCATCGCTCCAATCCTTGTTGAATCTGTCACAATCTGAAGTGCAACATCAACAGGAGCAGGCCTTGCAGTATGGAGTCGATCCTGGAAATCTTGACATGCTGCAAGCTGTTATTCAGCTACGGCAGCAATGTGCGAGTACAGAGATCAGTGCCGATTGCGAAGAAGGAGGTCCAGACACTCAAGGGCAAGAAACCGCTAACACTTCTACTCCCAAGATAACTACAGAAAATATCATTATCACAAATGGGAGTAGTCAAGGGCTCGACATGGTTTGCCTGCGATTTTCTCGACCGGGTGATATTATTCTAGTAGAACCGCTGTCTTATTGTTACATTGCAGCGACTCTGGAGCAACACGGATTGATTCCGTTGAAAGTCCCTTCCACCTCGGAACAATGCCGGACCAGCTGTTTGGAAGAGTCACGAGGGAATTTAATGGATCTGGACGCGTTGGAAGATGCATTGGAGACCCGTCGTCAGGTCAATGGGCTGATGCCCAAGTTACTATATCTATGCCCAATCTGTCATAACCCAACCGCGACGACGATGGAAGAAGAGGAAGCAAAACGACTAATCGCCATTGCTCGCAAGTATAAATTCAAACTCATCTCTGACGAAGTAAGACCCACTTGCTTTTATGATTTCACCGCTTTCTCTTCTACTTGATACTGGACTAATGCTTCCGTGCTTTGATGGCAGGTGTATATGTTCTTGGCCTTCAACTGTGAAGCAGTACCTAAATCATTGGTGGACTATGAGATGGAGTTGGTTGAGGCGGAGACTCCAATAGACGAAGGTGATGATGCTTCCTCCTTTGTTGTTTTGGCCTTGAATAGCTTTTCCAAAATATTGGGTCCAGGAATGCGTAAGTTTGATGGGAACTTTCTCCATCGCTGCTGATACATTGCTCGTACCTATTACCTAGCCTGAAAACTCTCACTTAAACTGACGCAACTCCCAATTCTTTTCTTCTGTCGTAGGTCTAGGTTGGATTGAATCGTGTAGCAACAACATCAAAGTGCTTCAAGAATCGGGAGCTATTGTGAGTGGTGGTGGATTGAATCCACTTGGTTGTAGTTTGGTTGGAGCCTACCTTCGAAGTGGGCAACAAGAGACGTTGATCGAAACGCTCAATACAAGCTATCGCACAAGGTGTAAGGTCATGATGGATGCCTTGGAATTGGATCTTGGGGCCTTGCCTGTGACAGTGGAAGAAATATTCCAGCCCATAGTCCAGCATCCTTGTTATGTCCGCGTGACGGGTGGTTTCTTCCTATGGCTCCGATTCCCCAATCATTGGAATCTTGACACAGAGAAACTGTTGAGTGTCTGTCTAGAAAAGCAAAATACAAAAGAAGAGAACGAAGATGACGAGTCTGTAAGTTTCTTTGCGGGGCATCAATTCTCGCTGGGGATACCTCTAGTGGGAGACAAATCGAATGGTGAAGAGGCAGCAACAACCGAGTTGTTTGTTCCAGAAGTAGCCAACCATTCAATCCGCATTTGCTTTGCCTATCTCCCAGAAGAGGATATCACCAAGGGGATCTCATACCTTGCGAAGACTGCCTATGATATGGTCTACAGCAGCAAGTAATAAGTGATAATAATGGTTAACAACGGTATGGGAACAAACTCAGCCCATGCCTACCGTATTATCTTTGACCTTTATCTTCATCTCCTCGAATCTTGAATTTTCATCATGAATCATCATCCATCAACATGAAACAACATGAATGAATATTAATTCTAATGCCTCATGTCATGACTCACTCTCACAATCATTTTGAATTTGTCATTTGTGATAGGTACAGGATTGAGGATGTGATATTGAATATGCGGATACAGTTCACGTATATGTATGATATTCGTCCTGTGGGTCGTCCGTTTCCGTCTGTCTGTCCATCCTTTGCGTCTAAAGAGGAGTCCATCCATTCGAGAACGACAGTATACCACGATATGCGTGATGTATTTTATATTTTATAAATATAGTCAATTCCACATCCTCCTTCCCTCATCGCACCTCCCAATACAGCAATCCTGCTCTACCGCTTGCCACAGCATATTAAACGAGACCAACGACCATAGCTACCAAGTACTAGCAGTGAAGAAACAACAAAATGTCCGTTACCAAGAACAATAGAGGACGATCTTTCAACATCGTCCTGTGTTTGATGGTCATGATGACGATGGTGACTTCCTTTACTATGTCGCCATCGACATCGCAATCAACCTCGACTTGCCTTGAAATGATTCGAACGAAAGGTTTGGAACGAACTGTGGACAGCGCTACTCCTGAAGGTGCGTGGTTTTGTGATTCTCAAGGATAATAGCTACACCTTCAAATGAAAGCTTTGATCTGTTCTTCCATTAATTCACAGTGGCGTCAGCAACTACTGGTATATCAGTGGATGACTCGTTGGTGTATTGTATTTTCCTCTCATTTTTTGCCCCTCTCCTTTCTTTGCATCTTTTATAACCTAACCCTGATTCGGCACCACGCACCACATCAATTTTGACTGAACAGAGGGCGGGATGACACTATTGGTGAAGGCTGGTCCTTCTACCGATGGAACGAGCTTACCAGTAGGAGATTGTCCCTTTGCCCATTCAATTCGTTTAGTACTAGAAGAGAAAGGTTTGAAATATCAGGTTCAGCCCTGCTCTCCCGACACCAAGCCAGAATGGTTGGTCGACTACTATGAGGGAAAGTTGCCAGCACTGCGACATCGAAAGGAGTGTTATGTGGAGTCGAGCGTGATTATGGAATACTTGGAGTTTTTCTTTTCATCCGATTCCTATCCTTCTCTTAAACCGCCTAAAAAGTGCAATGGGGAAGATGTCTTGGATGGGTTCTTCCCAGCAGTGGCGCAATATTTGAAGGACACTAGTGGTGATGGAGCCGGCGAGGAGGATGAGAAATTGCAGAATTTGCGTGACAAGTTACAAGGAATTGAAGATCACCTTGCAGGTATCGATGGTTCCTTCTTGTGTGGAGACGATTTCAGTCTATTGGATTGTCGGTTGGTACCGCAATTGTACCACCTGTATGTTGCTTCCCAGGAATTCAAGGGTGATATTCCCAACTGGAAGGAAGATTATCCGAGTCTACAGACGTATTATGAAAGTTGCACCTCTCGCCCCAGCTTTCAAGCAACTCTGTATCCGGAAGAGACGATCATCTGGGGATGGTCGCAGGCGCGATCATAGGTGGAATAAATAAATAAAGTACTATTATTAAAATATATCATACTGTATGTAAGCTTGCGTTTGCTACTTGTATGCACAGGCAGGTGGTTTGAAACTGATGAATATTGTGCGAAGACTGAATATTTTAAAAAATAGTAGTTGTTTGTTTGCCCAAAGATCACACATATTTTGTATCCATAGTACAAGTACCGTACTATCATACCAGGGACCGCAGGTATTGAGTATTAAAATACACGTACACTACACGTGTACGTGTACGTGTACACGTACCGGTACCGGTGCAATAAAATACTGAGAGGGAAAAAAATTGAATTCGCGCCATTTTTGGTTCGTTCGTTGTGCGTCCGACAGAATTATTTTCAGTGCACGCAAAAAGCAATGATCTACGCAGTACTGGTACTGTATGATATTTTACTATAAAATCGATAATAATAAAAGTGATAATACAAGGTAGAGCAAGATTGTTTATCTTCAATCTTATCTCATCTCTTATTATCGTTTCACATTCGAATTCAAATTCAAATTCAAATTCAAATTCAAATCAAATTGACAATGACAATGACAATAACGACAGAGCCACTAACGAGAGTGCAACAGCTGATGCTTCAGCGCCTAATGGCAGCCCATTGTTTGGACGACAAAGCCACCAAAGCACTACTAACAGAAATCCATGGACTCATGTCACAGACGGGCACCCAAGACTCTCCGCAAAGCCTAGAAGAATGCTTCGCGGATATTAACCAGCAACTAACGAAAGGCTTTGGCTTAGAGATTGCTACGGTCGTTTTGGATCGGCAAAAGTATCATTCCATCATCAATTCTCATGCTGATGAAGTCTCCAAGTTGTCTTTTGATAAACACTTTGATGCACACGATCGCCAATTCATTCTGTTGATCATGAAACACTTGGTTGAAAACCACCCATCAGTCACCGGAGATAAATCCAGCAATGGTGCTCCAAGAAAGGATCTCTACAATTTGAGAGGTGACTTGCAAGGACCCTACAAGCTTACCTTGAACGCGGCAGAACATGTTGTGGAATCCTTGGTTCAGCAGCAGTGGTTGCGCATCACTAAGAATGATGACGATGATCGACGTTCATCGATGCAAGCCAACTTGGAATTGGCTCCACGCTCCTATTTGGAGCTGAGTCATTTGCTGGTGGATATTGGAGTTTCTCAAGACGATCTACCGCAATTTTTGTTTCACCGTCTCTAAAAGAATGAATCTTTGCCTTTGAGTTTCTTTGAATATCTGGAGTGGTTGCGCTATTGGAGGGAAATGTATAACTAAGGCAACTGCTGTATACTGTACTGTTCTGTGTTCTGTACTGCACTGTACAGTTCTGCACTGTACAGTATTGCACTGATGTGGGTTTGCAAGAACGCGACTGCATCATATTACTGTTTCGATTGCGGTACTATCGGTAGTAGAAGAGGCAATAAAACAAACTGCACTCTCACGTACCGGTACCGTACCAGGTACTAACAATCAGATCTTCTTTTTATGACATACATGTTCAATGTATTCGAATTTAGTCCTATATTGATAGTGTCCTGCAATGGTTGATCGTCGATCATGGATCGCCACTACACTGTACATATACGTACTTGTAGTATGAATTATTGTATCTGGGTACTGTAGAGATCGAGTATTATAAACAATAGAACCTCTACACGATCCAGTATTAGGGGGAGCTGTAATATGTGACATATGTAATGTGAAGATAACGTCCCCTAAAACTAGAATTCTTTACACTTTTGACAGCGCATTATATTATATGATATCATCAGATCCACAATAATGATAATAACACGTCTCGCTGTTCCATAGAAAGAAGCATCCCTTGGACTACATGAACATCATGGCCACAGCTGATTCAACTTCGCCTTGTACAGAATATATTCATATAGCCTACCCAGTATCACCAATTGACAGAGTGACATGGGTGGATCTTCCAGACGCTCTTTGGCATGAAATCTTGCGATTTTCGGCTGTGCAAGATTTGGTTCGGATGGAACGAGTTTGCAAGAAGTTCAATATTCAACTTGACCGCAAAGATCGTAGTCATGGGGCTCAAGAGCAAGGACGAGAACGAGAACGAGAACGAGAACGAGAACAAGAACAATTGTCTTCCATTCATGATTTGTGGAAGACACACTGTCAGCATCGTTGGAACGACAAGCCAAGATATAAATTGACAGATGAAAGAGAGGATTGGCTTCGTCGACATTATGATGAACATTTTGCAACTGTGGATTATGGTGATACAGCTGGTGGTGCAACTGGTAGGGCTACTGGTAGGGCTACTGGTAGTAGAACAGAATCATCACACGTGATGATGGGGAATGCAGCACCGTTTCCTGTAGCGAATACTGCTTCTTCATCACCTTCTACAACATCTACACCGTCACTGTCCAAATTTTCTTGGAAGAAAACGTACTTTTGGATGGAACAGGAGCTGGCTCGCACCACCTTGACTTATGATGAACTCGAGTCACTGGATTGGTACTTCAACTTCACACCACTAGCAGGCGGAAGGGGGAAAGATACGCTGTTGCGATGCATCTTTCGCCACGGGCTCTTGTCCATTGGCGGTGCAGGATTTCCATCCTTGCCGTATCGGATGTTGTTCTTACACCCAGGTGACAACCCAGATATCTTTTCTGAACAACAGGTGAACGCAACTGATCAGCATTCCGACACAGATACCACTACTGATGCCACTACTGATACTGAGACTCATGACAACCCCATTTTCCATGGTGGTATAGACACCTCTCAAGCTCGGCGTCACAATCAAGAACAGGCTGTTCTCATTGCCGATTTCCCATTGCACTATGTGTCCAGATTGCATGATTCAGGGGAGTGGTTGATGACTAATGCACATGTGACGTTTGTTAGCACTGACGAAGCGGGAGCTTTGACCTACAAGGATCGGAACTTTCAATAAATTCATTCAACAACGAAGGATGCGGTTGAGCATGGTGATTGAAAATGAGATATAAGAGCCTAGTGTGTATTGATAACATAAATATGATGATAGTATATTTTTAATTTTATATATTAAAATAATGATGACAATAGTATAAGGTGAGAGAGAACAAATCAAATTGTACATATTGTATGCCAAGGATTTGCGTTCGATATTAATTATTGTCACATTCCCGGCCACAGTCGATGATTCGTCTACCTCTATTTCTTCTTTTGCAGTTTCACAATTCCCACCACTATTGCAGCAACGACTGCAACATGCGCTCCAAGCACAACCCATCCGTTTCCACCACTATTGTTATTTGGTTTCGTCATTTCTTCAAATATAGTAGCTTCCGTGAGTGATCCATCCTTTTCCATTGCTTGGATCGTATCATAGTCTCCTAGAAAGATGGTGCGTGATTTGGTTCCCATCCACGACAATGGAAGAAAGGACACTTTGGGAGTCTCTACCACCAAAAAGAGCTGTGGGTACTTAGCTCGCAACCCAGAAATGCCAAAGAGTTCATCTCGGCGTTCCTTGACTTCTGGATCGGATCCATCCAAAGTTTGAATCGGCAATCGCGAAAATCCTTTGGATCGCACAACTTGCATAAGCTGACTCTGATTGGAGTCTTGTTTTCGATTTCCTGAAAGGTTTGAAATCAATAGCAATAAGTGAGCATTGATGTTGACAATCGAAGTTTGGGTGGTTGTCGAATGAACATCATCCTCCGTGAGGGACAATCCCCGTGAGGTTTCCTCTTGTGTTGTTGGCGACGGTGTCGGTGAGGGTATTGTATCCGCGCTTTTCGTTTCTGCACTCTCAGAAACGCCCAGCAAATGAGCCTCGTTCAATTGTCCGCATTCATTCAATTCTTGTATGGTTTCAAAATTGCCAATGAATGTGGGAGGTTCGTCTTTTGATTTGACGGCAAAGAGTTGAGGATATTTCGCTCGCAACCCAGAGATTCCAAACAGTTCATTGCGGCGTTCTCTGTTAGCTGGATCAGCGCCATCCACGACTTCTGCTGCCAATCCTTGAGATTCCATCATCGTGGCTACCAAATCTTGATTGGCCAGCTGCTCGCGGTTGCCAATGGTGGATTTTGAAACCAGCAATAGCAGATGAGGCGGTCCCATTTTCAATGATGCTTCGTGGTGCTAATGATTCATTCATTCGGGTACCTGGTAGTTGGTAGTCGGTACCAGTACCGGAACCTGAAGAGCTTTGAGAAAGATCTTCTTTTAGATCTACTTCAGTACTTCAGCACTACAAGGTCAAATTGAAAATTCTTCATCTACAAATATACGGTACAGTGTACGTGTACGTACTGTGTCCGAAATCTCCATTCTTTTTCAACTGTGTTTATGATGGTACAGAAAGTACAGTAGCGGAGGATTTTCCTGTTTCTCCGGCCCGTGTCGACATCGCTTGCTCAGCATATTCATTCTTCATTGAGCATTGAGCATTATATTCACAGCTGCTGTACATTAGTAGGCATTGTCGATATGTCATCCAATTCAGAACCTTCGAAAGCTAATATGGATAGTCATGGATGGTCAAGACCTCAATGGGGATTGGGACAGAAACTGCATAGGCTGCATATCCCACCCAGCATGCACCTCACCTCACCTCACCTCACCTCACCTCACCTCATCTCTTCAATAACAAAAAGCAGAGGACATCACCACTGTCCTAGTTGGATGGTGGCAAAATTGCTAATTATGCTATTTACTGTGGGTCGGACCATAGCAAGTAGTGCTAATCTTTTCGATTTCTTATTTCTCAATCAACAAAACAATTAAAAGCAGCCACCAACCAAACAAACGGGACATCCTTTTTGTTTCTCGTTTACTGTGGAGGCTCTTCTGGCCACGCGGATATGGAAGCTATTGCACCAACAAACATGGGGCCGACATTTGACTCGTGTCTTGATTCTGAGCAATATACCGGATGACTTGATTCCAATATTGACCAAAGGACACAATAATAGTAGCAACACACCTGCATCATCACCGCCACGACCGCCGCCACCAGCATCAGCGTCAGCATCATCATGGAGCAATGCAATGGCCAAAATGTTAAACGGTGGTGGCAAGAGATCCTCGAAACATTCCTGGAGAGAAATATGGCAGGAAGTAAATATGGACTTGCAACGTGACCCTTCCATTCAGCGGGTTGTCCGCAGTGATTCCGACACTTGGTGGAATGTGCCCTTGTCGGAAGACCACCTCCGGGCCACCATTTTGCCTCCAGATGAAGCACTTAAATTGTCATGGGACAATTCTTTCCTCTTGTCAATTTTAGATGGGTACGTGAAGTGAGCCCGACACGAAGCGACGATGCTCCAGACCTAACACGCGGCAGCAATGGGAGGTGCGGATCTCATTTTCGCACTAAGGTCCATGGAAAACTTGTTTGCCTGTTTCCAAACGCGACTTTGAAATCGCACTCAAAAGTAGACATGTGGCTATCCCCGCTAGTACTCACTACTAGTAGCACATGCATGCAATGTGACAATGTGACACAGATTGTGCATTCGCATTATATGCATCAACTTCCTTGGTACATTCAACTAGACTATAGATACCCTCAACCTTGTGGCCTCGTTTTGCCTCCACAGCTACTGGTACCCGGATTGGTACAGTACGACGACTGACTGTATGTGAACACGAAATTGAATACATTGAATACATTGAATACATCAGTGCAGCTGGTCTGTCCGTTTATACGTGCACCCACTTCCGTTTATTGACAACGACGACTGACTCAATCCCAAGACATCTTAAAAATTCATCGCAATCAATCTTCACCAACCATCGCATGAAAAAAAATCGGAACACTTGCGACTTGCGATATTTCGAAAGAACAAGAACAAGAACGACAAAGAGTGCTTTGGTCAATCTACAGAGTCTCTCAAGCTTCAAATTTGTACCTTTCTATTCATCTTAACCACCTGATTATGCTCAAATGAACAGTCCTATCAAATCGACTTCTAAATTCGCAAGTTCACATCAAACTAGGAAACGAACAAAATCAGTTTTGCTGAACCCGAGCTCCTTCAGTCGGAGATTGATCCTTCTTTGCTGTGCGTGTAACATGTTTGGTCGACTATCAACTATACTACCATTGCATGCCCACGCTTTGATTACTAGGGCATCCAACCTTGCAAGACATCCACGACAAGGAAATCACTTTTCGACCACAAGGTTGTTTCAGCAGACATCCGAAACGAAAACGAAAACGAAATCAACAAGAAAACCAAAAGCAAACAGTGCCACGACGACCCAAAAGAACAACAGCAACAATAACAGTGAAAAGGTAATCAATTTGCATACTATTCCACTGGAGGAACTGGAAGAAGTCGTTGTTTCATTAGGACGTGAGTACTGGTACCTTTACCTTCCTTTGTTTTCAATTTACTATGTGTTTGTCAAAATGACGAATTTTTGGATGGTGGTCGTTGTTTGCTCACCCAATCATTGAATTCTCTTCTCATTATACTATTCCGTAGATCCCAAATATAGAGCCAAACAAGTATATAACTGGGTTCGAGTACAGGGTGTTACGGATGTTTCACAAATGAATAATATTCCGAAAAAACTAAAGGAGGACTTGGAGCGATTTGCAGCTGTCGGATCCCTTACCTTGGACATGGAACAAATCTCGAAGGATGGGACAACAAAAAGAGCTTACCGTTTGGAAGATGGGCAATTGATCGAGTCTGTACTCATGCCATACACCGATGGCCGTTACACTGCCTGTATTTCAAGTCAAGCAGGTTGCGCCCAAGGATGTGTCTTTTGTGCCACTGGACAGATGGGTTTCAGTCGACAGTTGACGGCAGATGAAATTTTTGAGCAAGTAGCTCGCTTCGCTTCCGAGTTGTCACAACAGGATCAACAGGAGAAGAAAGAACTGAAAAAACAGAATAGCAATGGAAAAGGACAAACGCAAGAACACTACAGCAGGAATCAACAACAAAAGACTTCCGGAAGATCAACAAGACTATCAAACCTTGTATTCATGGGGATGGGAGAAGTACGTAGTTTTGTGATCTGCTACCGTTGTTATTGCTGTTGTTGTCGAATGTATTGAGTTGGATTTTACAGGTACTATATATCGGGCAGTTTACTCATTCATTCTACCCCTTTCTTCTCTTTCCTCCTCAGCCACTTGCCAATTATAAAAACGTAAAGAAGGCCATCCAACGTATTCAATCCGAATTGGGAATTGGTCACCGCAAGATTACAGTCAGTACAGTAGGGATTGTTCCAAACATTTACAAAATGGCCGAAGAATTGCCACAAGTTCGACTGGCTGTCAGCCTGCACTGCGTAAGAAGTGAAACGATATCGGCTGTGCATCGTCGCCCAATTCTTTTTCCCTGACGCTTCAATTGACTGTTATCTTATTCAATGCTGTAGGCGAATGACGAAGAAAGAAGCGATCTGCTCCCTGCCAACAAACGCAATGGGGGATTGAAAGAGTTGATGAAAGCACTACAGGACTACATTAGTACCACTGGAAAGCGGGTGACATTGGAATGGGCGCTCATTGAAGGGGAAAATGATACCCCAGAGACGGCACACGAACTGGGGAGATTGATCAAGAAGTGGTTGCGAAAGGACATGGTTCACATCAACGTGATTCCACTCAACCCGACGGGTGGATTTGGCGGAAGTCCTTCTGGTCGGCAAAGAGTGAATGCCTTTTGCGCTATCTTGGAAGACAAATATGGAGTTGCTTGCACGCCACGGGTTCGACGGGGAATTGATATCAATGCCGGATGTGGCCAACTCAAGGCAGAAGTGGAGAAAAGAGAAAAGGAATCGACCACCTTGGCACAAGGAGAAGAAGAAGCAAGCCCACAAGAACAAGAGCCTGAATTGTTGGTATCAGAAACGAATTTGGTGGATTCGATCCAAGTTGAGCAAGATTTACAATTTGCTTTGAATGAATTGGCCATTGAAATATCCGACGAAGAAGATTGGGAAGACTATGAGTACAAAACCGAGGATGAACTGGCAGAGGCCGATCGATTGATTGATTTGGTTAAGGGAACCACAATTACTGTAGACACCCAAGTAGGTGGCCTGTCCGAAACGGAGGCCAAATCATAAATTTTGAAGAAAATATGGTGATAATGAGTGATTGATACAATCGATATCTATAGATTCCTTTTTATCGTTATTGTGCTGATGGCGCAAAGTGCTCCAATAAACACATTTAGTTGTAGCTGTAGTTCTAAAGTTGATGGATGTCACATGAGATTAGTGTGGCAACTACATACGTTATATCTCAAGACGGGATCCCAATCCCTTGTTGAAAAGTTCCAATATACTCGGACCCATTTGCATAGGTCTCCCACCCCTTGCTCGTCAAGTAGCCCTTGGACCTGATGGAATAGTTAATCACGGAGCAAGGAAATGTGAGTAGAATGTTTCATCGGCGATGATCCAATGATCAAGTCACCACAATTATTTATTCGTGAAACTTACCAGCAACCATATAGGTACCTTTCTTCCCGCATTGGTTGCTTGTCATCCCCTAAATCCACATCACTGTTATCGGCATTGGTTTTACTGTATGTCAAGCATCCAACCCCATGTGGCAAATCATCCAAGATGCTCCCCACAAAGAGTCGATTCCACCCACCCAATGGCTTCATGTTCGCTATTTGTACTTCATTCCCAAAATTGCTTTCCGACGCCACATCAGCAAGAGTTCCAAGTGCACTTAGTCCATCGAGGACAGGCGCAGGTATATTGGAGCAATTCTTGATGTTGCTATTGGTCTTCGACTGTCCGTCCTTGTTGGCGGCACTTTTGCCACAATTTCCATTACCATTTCCAATAGACCGAAAGGTAAAGGCCGAAGCCACCTCAAACAGAGTCGAGGCATACTTTCCCTCACTGCACATTTCGTATATACTTTGTGAATGTTCCAATGGATCCCATTTTGGATGTTCCAATTGAAGTCGCATGACTTCGACGAAGAGAGTAACCAGTGTGCCCATTACTACATGTTGGACATTCATGGGTGATGACTTTGCAGTCGACTTCTTCTCTTGACTAGTAGAATCCTGCTTGGCACTGATATTGTTTATCTTTTTCCCACTTTGATTGATAGATCCTTCTTCATTTCGAATGATACGATTGTCTTCATTGACGGCATCGGATACTTTATTCTCTCCTGAAGGATGAGTTTTTGTAGTAATAGCAGCAGTAGTGGTGGCGGTAGTTGGATCGACATTCATGAGCCTTGGATTAGCCGAACCATTATTAATATCTCGGACAGTACCGGTAGTCTGGTTGGGCACTCTGCTGCCAGCATTTGTAACTGGTGGATTCTTGGCCATTGAAGTTTGCCCTGCAGCAGCATCAGCAGCGGGAGATAGCATGGCTGGCATATTTGGCATTGTGGGCACAAGTGATAGATTCTTTGCTCCAACTCCTTGCTGTGGATGAACCCAATCGTTATTTCGTGTTGGTGGGACCGTGGTTCCCTGCAATGCCAAGGGTTGTGGAATAATAGCACCATGTGCTGCTGGTGCGGCAACAAACGGATTGGCAGTTGTTGATCCGAAAGATTGTGTTACCTTATTGGGAGCCAAGATTCCTTGTGGTCGAGCATTGGCCGAAGCCGCCACAAAGCCTTGTCTCTGGCGCTTGTTACTATTATTGTTGTTGTTATGACTCTCAACACCAGTTGCCTTGTCTGCTTGTGTAGCATATACCAAAGTAGATGCCGCTTGGAATATCTTCAGTTGTCCTCTTCCTGGTAGATTCATGACGAGGGATCCAAAACTCTTTGAGTTTAGAGTTGCATATTTCTCATTCAAATCTCGAATCTCAAGAAATATATCTCCGAGTAATTCAATGATTTCCAAATCCAGCACCACACGAGACGCGTCGGACATTTCGTTAACGGCTTGAGTATTGAAAGTAAATTGTTCTGGATGAAAATCTCCTGGCTTATCTTTGGGTCCTCCTTTTGATTTGCGCAATGCTTTGCGATCCATCGAGACACGATTCCTGAATTGTTGCTGTGTTTTGGCCAAGCTTTCATCTGCCTCTACTTGGAACCATTTCTGGTTTTCCTTATTGTATCTAAGAAAACGACCAGGCGGATCTCTGGTTCCAATATCTTTGATTACCCTTTGTGCAATGTCTTGTTTGGATCTGTGAGTCTTTACTTCATAGTATTCTTGCAAGCTGTCTTTGACCAACTTGTGGAACAGCTGATTGCCAGGATGGTTGTAAGCCCCTTTGCCACTTCCATACAGTACATCGTTGATATTAGGTTGACCTTCAATGTATCGTCTGCCGGTTCGTGTGTTGACGTTTGCGTTTGCGTTTGCGTTTGCGTTTGCGTTTACATTTACATTTACATTTACACTTGTTTTATTTGCATTTGTATTTGCATTCGCATTATTATTGCCAGTGTTGTTATCATTGGTTGAAGTCACTACCATTGTCAGTTTCAGTTTCAGTTTCAAATGCGACGACTGCAGGTGCGATACGAGATACGATACGGGATACGATACGATACGATAGCAGTAATGACAGTAATAATGACAGTAGTAATGACAAGAATTGAAGATAATGCGTGGATATGCGTCGATGCGTGGATCAACAAAACGGTTGATAGCAATGCTATTTTAATAATGACCGGGATGGTCATGCGCACTGGACTGGGTGGGACATGTGCGACATTACTGGTTCTACTGTACAGGGTGCATCCATCGAATTGTCAACTTTTTGAAGTTGAAAACGTTTTAGTCGTAAATGCCAGTGTTTCGATTGCGCGAATGAAAAAGGAATTATGGGATGAGGCATAACTCCATATAAGTATTTACTTAGAGACGGTATTGGATTCTCCTCGCAAAAGGCCCAATTTTGAAATTTACAGCAGAAACTCACTCAAGACTATAATATTTTACTTCAGAACAGTAGTTTCGTCACAGAAATCATAGAAATCGCACTACAGTGATACAGTTTAGACAGGAGTACAGTTATAGTGTACCAAATAGATACCATGTCAAACAACGGCCACGACAACGACAACAACAACGACAACAACAACGGTAACCTCCCTCCTCCAGCAGCTGCAACTTCAGCTTCCTTGCCAAACCCCTCGGCTAACAGCATGAACGCTCGTATTGGAGCGTCTTCTGTGTTTTCCAACATGTCCGAGGATGAACGTCAACAACGATACGAAGCTAAAATGAAATCAATGGGTATCCATGATGCCATTCCTCAAGAGAAACCTGAAACAGAGAGCGAAACTGAAACGTTGGATTCGCTCAAGCGTAGCATGAGTGTTCAAAGTGAACGAAACAGGAACAACAGCGACAACAACAACCGCAGCAATAGCTCTGCTATCAATCCTGCTGGACAAGTCGTGAACCGATCCATCAGTCTAAATCCTTCCACTAGCAATCCTACCGGTACTCCTTCCACCACAGCGCATGTTGATTTGGTAGAGCAAGAGAGACAAAGGAGATATGATGCCAAAATGGTAAGTCCAAGTATATAGGGTACATGATTGTACGCCTTTGTGTCGTTGGCATTTGCTGTTTGTCTCATCAGGCTGTCACTTTTCATTCATTCACTATATCCTATATTTTATGCGATAGGCTGCAGTCGGTCTGGCACAACCAGAACCAGAAAAGGAACAACCAGTATTGCACCCTGACCATCAGGCACAAATGACGGGCAAGTTATCGGTGGAGCCCACGAGCGGCGAAATGGCCAACGAAGCCGACGAAAAGAATGCATTTTCTAGTCCTCCTGCACCAGTATATGACACTGATGCAGAACACATCAAGGAACACGAGAATATCAAGAACTTGAATTATGCCCACCACAAGAACAATCCAAACAATATGATGGACGCTGATTTGGCAGTGGCCATGGCTATCAACGAAGAGGAAGAAATGGAAAAGGGAAAAGATGAAACGATTGTCTATGCCATTGAATATGACCCAGAGTCCAAACCACCACTCCACAAGAATAGACGATTCCAACTATATGGATTTATTGGATTCTTGGTCGTTGTGTTGGTTGCTGCGGGGGCCGCTGTCGGAGTGGGTGGTGGTGGTGGAGAAACCACCATTGTCGATGCCAAATCACTGCAAGGGGAATTGGGTCCTACTAATTCTCCCACCGTTTACTTGACTCCAGAAGAACAAGTGGTTTACAGCTTTTTGAGCCTACATTTTAGTCCCAAGGTTCGCGAAGAAGGCACTCCTCATCACATGGCTGCCCAATGGGTTCTATACGAAGATCCCTATTCCCAAGATATTTTGAAGGATTTGTCAAATGTTTCAGGCTCCTTGGATGTTCAATTCTTGCAACGTTACGTCTTGGCCTTTTTGTGGTTCCATTCTACCAACATAGGCAAGGATCCTTGGAGATCCTGTAATCCACCTACTTTTAAGAGCATGAACCTGCTGGATACCTTGGTCACCCCAAGTGCTGGACGTTTGGTCACGGAAGGGGTAGAAGCTGGTGCAGAAGCAGAAGCTGATGCTGATTCAGATACCTGCACCTTTTTGCAATGGAATCGATTGGAAAATGATGCGGTTTGCTTTGGAGCTGTTCCAGGGGTTCATCGATGGATGTCAAGTGCGGATACCTGCCAATGGCAAGGAGTGGATTGTTCCACTGGTACCGAAGTCTTGGGATTGGATTTGTGTAAGTACGAGACAAATGAATTCATGGTACTGGTGGAAAGCAATACTGTACTGTACTGAATTGGGGCTTTGCTCACCATCAATCTCTTTCATCTTGCAGTCTGGCAAGGTCTTTCAGGAACTCTTCCCTCCGAGTTGATGGCACTCACGTCGCTACAAAAGATCTCCTTTGCTTACAATCAACTCACCGGTACAATCCCAGGGGAATATGGTAAGTAATTGTGCACCACACATCACTCGTGGTGGTTTTGATAGTCCCACTTACAATGCAATGGAACCTAACATCTTGATGTTTCTAATTTTTCCACAGCTCGTCTTCGAACACTCTTTGCCTTGGAGCTTCACGGTAATTTGTTGACGGGAACCATACCCGATTCTTACTACGAGGCCGCCAGTGAAACGGGTGCCTTGGTCTTGTTGAATGTGGGAGACAATCAATTGACTGGTACATTGGATACTCGCCTTGGTCTTATGACAGATCTAAAGGGTTTTCATTTCTTCGACAACTCTTTTAATGGACCTATTCCAACAGAAATTGGAAACTTGCGATACCTCTCGTATTCCAGAGGTTATGGAAACAATTTGTCAGGATCCCTGCCAACAGAAGTTGGGAAATTGCGACAAATGAATGAATTTTGGTATTACCAAATGGGTCTCACTGGACCCATTCCATCGGAGATTGGAAACATGAAGCGTCTCCAGTATCTCCGTCTTTGGGGTAACGATTTGAACGGATCCATTCCTGAAGCATTCTACTCCTTGCGCAAGCTCGAACAGGTTGCCTTGCAAGAGAACTCTTTGACTGGAACCATTAGTACTTCCATTTCCAACATGATGGCCTTGGAGGCACTCCGTGTGTCCTCCAATAAGCTCAGGTCCACCATTCCGACCGAAGTGGGTGACTTGCTCGGGCTCAAGGTCGCTTGGTTCCATCAGAACGAGATGACAGGAACTATGCCTGAGCAAGTCTGTAGGCGTGGACTCATTGGGTTGCAAGCTGATTGCGATCCCGAAGGTGCTGCTGCTGTCGAGTGTACGTGCTGCTCGTCGTGTTGCGAACAAGGACTAGGATTGGGCACTTGCTTCTTCCGTGAAGGATACGGAGAACCAACCTTGCCACCCAACACATTTGATGACTACGTCATGTGCGAACCTTAAAGCACGTCTGCTCTACCCGTAAGCTACCCGTAAATTGGCTTGGATGAACACGTCACATCCATGCACTTTCAGTAACTGCATGATTTTGGATTGGCACATTACATAATCACATAATTCCATAAAGCATTTTGATTATATTGCAACCTATCATGGTAGGTCCTATGCACCATTCTAAAAGATTTTTACAACGGAGGTTCTGTTTCTGTTTTCTGTTGGGTCTTTCATTCACAATACGATAATCCTAGTGCGATGAAACGATGATTTTGAGATTGCCCAAAGAACAGTTTCAATAGGAAAAAGAGTATATGCCTAGCCAATACAGAAACTTCCGGACTTCTCCTGCGCTGGGCTATAGCTAGCGACGATGAGGACGTTAAAAATAAATAAGTGCGTGATTATTGTACAGTTTTTTGCGACGAAACCGCACACAACTTGAAACGCGATATTGTTCTAAGAATGTACAGGGTACTGTACCTGGTAGGGTCTGCAAATGGTGCGTAACGTGCCGTAAAGGCTAAAACAGAAACGTGGCGGAAAAAGGAACATGAATTTATTCGTCAACTGCAACATGGTGCGATACGGAGCTACACGAAAATGTATACTAAATAAATAGCTTAATTGTTGACACCCGAACACCAAACCTGGGAAAAGAAGACGGGCCACTTTGCAGATGAATGCAAAACCGGCTCCATCAAGGATCATTGCCATTCTCATGAGAGGAAAGCAATCCCAGCAAACATTTCAGCAAGCAAACTATACAGCAACATTCAGTTTTGTTGTCTTTCAATAATCACAACAAAACTGAATGTATATGTAGAGAGGCTCATTCGAATCCACCTATCAGAATCAAGCCCAAAAGCGCTTCCAGGTGCCATTGGAATGGCGGCCGATGGTCAATTGCTAGACGATAATTATAGAAATGACAGTGTGGGAAGCCCTGATGATGAGAATGGCGTCAATTTCGATGCTGGTTCCGCTTCACGGTAACCGCCACTTTGTTTTGGGAACAAAGTGTCAGGATATACAGTATATACGGTAGAACTGCTCGGCCTCGCGTGGGAGGCGCTTTTGCTTGTATGGTACGCAGTTGACGATAAAGAGTCGCAGTGACAGAGGTCTCGAGATCGAGTCTCGACTACCCCTGAGTGTTCTTCTGCCCATACAAGACTAATATCCTAATTTCTTTCAGCAGAATGTCATGTCATGTATGTCTGTAGAAAAGGCACGGCAGTGACAGTGTACCCACGTATAGCCCCGAGAGTTACAGTACCACCTATAGGTATCAGAGATCTGGTATATACGGTAGAACTGCCCGGCCTCGCGTGGGAGGCGCTTTTGCTTGTATGGTACGCAGTTGACGATAAAGAGTCGCAGTGACAGAGGTCTCGAGATCGAGTCTCGACTACCCCTGAGTGTTCTTCTGCCCATACAAGACTAATATCCTAATTTCTTTCAGCAGAATGTCATGTCATGTATGTCTGTAGAAAAGGCACGGCAGTGACAGTGTACCCACGTATAGCCCCGAGAGTTACAGTACCACCTATAGGTATCAGAGATCTGGTATATACGGTAGAACTGCCCGGCCTCGCGTGGGAGGCGCTTTTGCTTGTATGGTACGCAGTTGACGATAAAGAGTCGCAGTGACAGAGGTCTCGAGATCGAGTCTCGACTACCCCTGAGTGTTCTTCTGCCCATACAAGACTAATATCCTAATTTCTTTCAGCAGAATGTCATGTCATGTATGTCTGTAGAAAAGGCACGGCAGTGACAGTGTACCCACGTATAGCCCCGAGAGTTACAGTACCACCTATCGTTTAGTCGGAGCAATCCCGTACGCGCAGCGTGCGTAACACCACGTTTGCAAATTCAACCCCTCTAATCTCCCTCAGATGAGTCATCTAGTAATGTGTTGTTCACTACTAAATTGTGCGCCATCCTTCAAGCTTTCGAACGGTGGTAGGGAAAGCAGTAGAAGACTTTTGGTTCAATATTTACAGTAGTGTTTATACACGGACCCAATATAATGCGTAAACAATTGGCCCAAAATGTGTAACTCCTCGACTTTTTCACATATTTTGGCTATCGAAATATTCATCGACAAGTATCATGCCTACAAGAACTGCCAATCATACTGTAACTACCAACCCCAACGGAAACGAAGAAGGCCATGTTACCCTTCCGTTGGGCTTTGTTTCGAGCCCTCCAGTGGTTGTTCGGAGAACCAATACCTCGCCAGCGGGGCTAACTCTTCTCTCTGAAATCTCCTCCATCACTCTTCCTCCTTCCGAGGAGGACGAGGACGACAGCAATGAAATCTGTCAACGATCCAATGCCCCAATAGATACATTGGAAGAGTTGGTAGACTCTGACGATGACAATGCATTGGACCGACTAGAACCTGACGACAACAGCATGGGCGGGGAAGAAGACTTCCAGGTCCTCACGATCGAGGCGGAATCAGCAATAGAGGATAGGATGTATCAGTTGTGCATCGCTGGCAAACCTGAAGGTGAAGAAGAAGACCACTGTGTGTCCAAGAAGGACGTTCTGATGGAGATGGTTGATCTAACACCCGAGGTTAAGATCCCTGGCATCCCTCCCAACTGGCAACCGACTGAACCAAGAGTCGCCAATGGTGAAGTCCCTTTTGATGAAGTCGACAATCCAGGAAACTGGAATGAGTATATCTACCGCGGTAAATTGAACAAGAGCAGGCAATACAAAGGCCACAGCCTACCTTCTGGTGCCCAACCCGTTCCTGTTTTGGAAGGGGGTAAGCGAACCATCAATGGATGGGAGTTTCACTATGGTCCTTGGACTCCTGATGATGAAGGAGATGATGGACCAGGATCCTTCAGAAGCGGTGCAACAACGGAAAATATGTTTCCGGAAAGTCGCAAAGGCTGCTTGAGTGTTGCCACACTCAAGTTGCTTGGCCTCACCAAGTCGCGAATGGATGGCGACGATGCCCTGTTCTTCTACCAACTGTTGTATCCTATCTGTGACCCAAAGAGGTCTGGTGTTGCAAAGGATCCACGCGAAGCGTATTACTTTGATGTCGAAACCTTCACCAGGAAATATGCGGCCTCCTTGGAATACGGTGGTTCGTATGGCCAGACTATCAAGCCTGTCCTGGCGGCAGAACTTCTGAAGTTCCATGGCATCATGGTTCGAGATGGCGTTCATGGAGGCAGCAGGGGTGCCGTCTACCGTCTATGGGACCCAACTTGTTCATGCTATGACAAAGACGTTGTGAATGCACTCAGCCTCTATCGATTTCGACAAATCAAAAGGATCATCAAGCTCAATGATAATGCCAAAAGCAAACCTCGTGGCCATGAACTGTACGATCCTGCACATAAGTATGACATGGCATACAGAGTGGTCGTTGCTAACTGTAACAGCTTGACACTGTATGCGGAGAGTGACTTGTGCTGTGACGAGATGACATGGAAGTTCATGGGGTACGGAGAAGGCGGCGTTGTCCGACGAATCGTAGGTAAGTCCCTTGTCTTTAAGTGTCAGGAGGTGGTTCTTAAAAGTCGCGATCGTGCGTGATGTCACAATTAATTATGTCTAACTGTTCTTTGTTGCTGACGCTTCATAGGGAAGCCTGGAGTTACCAAAGGTGGTCAAGTCGTAATGACCTCTGATGCTTCTTGCTGTCGTCCTCGGGCATACGTCCATCGTCACACTCTACACCACCGTCCGACAGGCTTTGCTAAACAGGGACCTAATGAGGTCCGAATGATTGTTGAGAAGCTGGACTGCTTGATCTCCAAGGAAGATGGCGATGGTAAAATCTTCAGAGAGAAGCCCCACATCACTCTTGACAACTTCTTTTCTGGTGATGAGACCCTTGACCATCTTGGCGAACTCGGATTCGCGGCCACCATGACAAGTCGCAGAGACCGGCTGCCCGCAGGTGTGCCCAAGCATCACTTTCATCATGAGAAAGGTCCTGTTGATGACCGCAGCAAGGCCGCAAGATTCATCCATCCTATCACCTGTGTCAAGAAGTTTCCCCAAGACGGCGAGAAGAAAGCCTACACGCGAACTCATGTCTCCTTCCAGAGCACTGGCTCTACCAACTTCTCCACTGTTAATGCTATTAACTCTAGTCGACTCTATGTTGTCAAGAAAGAGAGAGGTGTTGGCAAAGAAAAGAGAATCTGGGGTGTCGAGAATAATCCCGCAAGGACCCTCTACCTCAGCCACTACGGTAGGATCGACACTGATGATGCTATGATGGCCGGCACTCAAATCCAATACCGTTCTAGGAAGTACTGGCATTCTGCAATGCTTCATGGTCTTAGGCTTGCTATTGTCACTGCGTATTCTTTTTACCTGGAAGCCAGCAGTGGGAGCTTGGATGCCAGTTGGAAGTTAGTGAAGCCGATGACTTTCCATCAGTTCCGCGACCGACTGTCAACCCAGATGCTCCAATACAAGCCAAGGTTCAATATGTACCCAGGTGATTCAGGATTTCGCTCTGTTACAGTTCTTTCAAAGAAGGCACGCTCCAAGACTCATGTGGTCCCAAGCAAGAGATCTCGCCAGACTGCGGTGTCCGTCAGTACTGGTGGTCAGCACTGTGTTTTGATTGACGAGTTGGACAATGCCAGGAAGAGTAAACGATTATGTGGTGCCTTCAACCATACTGAGCTGTCAAAGCACCTAGCATCATTCCTTGAGAAAGGAGCTTCGATCTCTTCAGGTTCAAAGTGTGCTTGGTGCGGCGAGAAGGCATACCAACGATGCACC